ACCGACTTGTTAAATGGATACAACTGTAGTTGCCAAGTCGGTTATACTGGGAAAAACTGCGATACAAACATTGACGAGTGCCAGTCATCTCCCTGCATAAACGGTAAGGCAAAACCTATTTTGTAAGACTTCATTCTATTCTTAGTCTTTTGATCTTGTAAAATGAAAGTTTTTCTGCGCATGATGCTAGCCTGATCCCCTTTTATAGCCACAAACCTTAACTTGTCAAGAAAAAAAACTTCTCAAGGGAACCTATTGATGGTTCGTATCAGCAGGTTGTCAAACAAACAAACAATGAAACAAAAAACACTATGTACTTGTAAACGCGCCTTTAACACACAGTAGCTAACGTATTCGTTCAATTGTTATAAGTATTTGTAGCATTTAAAACATGGTTTATCACGTTTACCCTTTACTTTAAACTTCACGTCGTTGTCATTTTCTTTAACAAGCTTATAAGATAAAATATCGGGTACTATTTCTTCAGTATTGCTAGTTATTCACACACACATGATAAAAAATATATCATTTTATTTAAGGCACTTGTTCTGACAAAGTCAATGGCTTTAGTTGTGTTTGCGAAGCTGGCTTCACCGGAATGACTTGCAACCTGGACATTAACGAATGTCTTCAAGCCTCCTGTGCAAATGGTGAGACCATCCTACATTTTTAAGTGTCGCGTTCCAATCCCGGTCCCAGGTGGATCTATAAATGCATTACCCAACGCCAGAAAATTTAATTAGGGACCGTTAGGGAGGTCTATGCCGAAAAATACGGATTCAAATACAAAGGGGGGTGAGACGAAAAAAAAATGGTGTTTATGGGAGGGAGATAAAAAGTGCTTTTAACTTTTGTAATGACGGGATGACCAAGAACAGTACCATTCGGCTGGTTAGAAGTCTCAAAAAATAGCGTTTTTGATGTTAAGAAAATTCTCATTTTTCCGGGGAAGCATGCGTCATCGCCCTACTTTATTAATGTAAGGACCGTTCAGGAACTTCAGTAGATGCAAGAAATGTTAGCTCTTCTTTGGTTTTCATGGGTCATTGACAGGGCTGTCAACCCCTTAAGTCTTCAAATATTGAGAATTGGTCGATGATGTCATAATGCACTGCCCATGACGTCATTTCGCCAAACAACGCGCGAAAAAGATGTTGGTGGAATTGTAACATTTGACCCTATTGGTTTACTTGCCAACAATTACGTTATTCCTTATAGTTCAATGGCATACCGGAGTTTATAAGGAAACGTTCAATGTTAATAAAATAGCTCAAACAACGCAAAATATTTGAAATTTCATTGTCAGAGAGTCGGGTCCACAAGAAATTGAATGGCAAACTTTGGTGATTATTCGGTAGATTTCAGACTCTAATCTGGAGACCGGAAGATACGGTTCAAAATCTGGAGTCTCCCGGATTATCCTGGAGAGTTGACAAAACTGCATTGACTTAACAGTTTTATAAAGGGCAATTTCGTGAAAACACGAAAAGATGCAAATGAGGTAGTAGATGAGTTGTAAAAGCTCGAAAACGTACTTCGGATAGCTAAATGATCTCTTAGAAATGTGGACGTGATCATTTCCTGGGTAGATTGCAAAGACTTCCCTGATTATTGGTTTGTATGTGGTGTTTTGTTGATGGATCATGATCGAGGAACAGTTAAATGTTCATGGGAAGCAGTGTGCCCAAATAATCAGCCCTTCGGACTGACAATCCGGCGGTCACGGTTTCGGGTCGGCGACCCGCTATGACCACTTGCTGAAATAGTACACTGGTTTCTCTCCTGTCGGGATTTGCTTATAGTACATTCTCAATGTATAAAGAAGCATTTTTAGTTACATATTTCTGGCCGGCTTTTTCAAATAGGAACTTGTGTTGACAAAGTGAACAACTACAGCTGTATTTGTAACGCTGGATTTACTGGCCGAAATTGCGATGTTGTTATCAAAACGTGTAGCAGTGACTCATGCTACCCTGGAGTACCCTGCAATGAGAATAGCAACTCTATTTACTGTGGTTCGTGTCCATTTGGCTTTACAGGAGATGGTAAAAACTGCGAAGGTAATTTTTATTTATTAAAGGGCGGCATATGTCCGTGTACTTATGCCAAATAACCACTACAATTGCTACCAGCAGGTATTTTTTATGTATTTTTAGAGTTAATTCAGTGGTATAGATAGCAGATAATATTTGAAGGTATATACAACCTTTTTTTATTCCCATGCTTGTACTCCTGGCTGCTTACTCCTTGACAGAAACAGAGAACACAAGATGTGAACTAAAAGAAAAACAAAAACTGCTGTCTGTATAACATCACTCTGATTTTTCGACGAAGAAGTAAAGGGAAGAAACACTCGACTGCGTCGCGCATTTCCCCCCTACACTTCTTTCGTGCTCTAGCCGCTTACTGTGTGCTTTACAACAGAACAGAGCACAGTCAAGTCTTCTTTATTTGTTAAATCAGGTCAATAACCAGAGTTTTAAAATACCATTAACCGAAACGATACAACTCACTTTGACTCTGAAGATGACTGCCGCACAGGTTTTCGAAACGTCAGTCACTGTCAATAAAAGTCCCATTCAGGACTACACTGACCCTGACGATTGTACGCTAACTACAATATACTAAAACAAATATTCACCTCAGGCTCAGTTAATAGTAAACAGTTAATGACTGGTTCCGAGGTAAACAGTTAATTTTGTATCCCGAGAATTTCAATGTTACATTGAGATTCGAGGGAAACAAAATTAGCTGTTTGCCGAGGGACCAGTCCTTAAGTGGATTGTTATAACCCATGAAGAAAAACTTTTTCCTGTACAAATTTATAAAAATAAATCTCGCGACCGGTCAACATTCCCGGGTAATATGGTACTGTTACCCTCGAATGACCACGTGTCATAGATGTTGCAATTTTGCCCGCTCAGAGATTTTGGCGAAAAAGAGTTTCACTGTTAGATGTCATGTGACCTCGAAGTAACCAATGAAAGAGCGCGCTGTTGAGAACAAAAATTTCCAGCCAAATAACAATGTTGAATAATCCCCTCGACCTCGTCTCGGTGATTTTTCCACAATATCAACTTCCATTCGGCAAACAATTCTCTTAAAGTAGCCATAAAGAGAAAAAAAAAAAAACTTAAAATGGAGTTGTCTGATCAACTTAATACAAAGTCGGCTAACATATTGATTATCACTAACAATAGCATTGACCTTATTATTATAACGTCATTTATCATGAAAGGAGGAACTGGAACCATCCACCATCTTGGATTTTCGATTTTGCTCTAAACCTGTATAAAAAGAAGTAATCGTGATATAAATAGAAGTACAACTTCTTTTATAGACAAAAATGAATTTTTAAAAACATGGCATTAAAAACTCGGTTGCCCTGTATGCAAGGTAAATGTTAACGTACTCGTCACGGTGAATTTACTTCAGGGAAGTTGGCTACGTTTATTATTCAACTGTTTAAAGAAGGGGGAAGGGGGCTCAAAATCCCTTCTCCGATATGAAGAAGTTTAATATTATTAGTTAGTATATTCTTACAAAGTGATATTGGTGTTTTGAGCACTCTGATAAGTTCGCAATCTCGGACTATGACTTCATATTCAACGCTCTAGGCGTCAAATAAGAAAAAAAAACTAAACGCGTTGTTTTGCCGAAGTTCTAGAGTAAGAACCTTTGAAAACACTCTGGAATGAAGCTGATGTGAACTGCAGAAATATAAGCTGCCACTTGAGTTTCACGCTTAGCCAAGTTTCTGGTGAGAGGCCTTCACTGATAAACATACCATCAGGTATTTCACGCTTAGCTTTCCTCAAGATTTCTTCTATCTGCTTCCAATTTCTTAGCCGACAGGACGATCGATCGTAGACCAGGTGGCCGTTCAAGCTGTTAAGGCTCGCTCACCTGATTTCTGTGTTGTTACCTTGGATTCCTTTCGCTTGATGTCCGCATAAATACCTAGTTTCTCACTAATGACATCCTTCAACAAACCCTCACACCACCACCCCGAAAATCGACCCAGCCCCTAAATTATGACATTGATGGGAATGGCTCAGGACATTATATGAAGTCTTATATGAGCTACATACCATCATTGTCACGACAAAACAGTCATTGTCAGTGACTAAATACGCGTAAAAATGCCCCAGGAACAGTACTATTTTGGAAAAAAAAATGGGCACAGAAATACTCAAAAGTCGATTTTATCCGGGAGATTTGGTGACTCGTACGAGAGAGCGGGAGATCGGTGCTGTATCCGGGAGAGTTCGCATATTATGCTCTTACGTTATTCCTCCTGCTGGATTCTCCAGAGCCTCTTTTCAGAAGAATCCTTTTCGGCCTCGGCGAGTTTCGAAAAAACAGGTATCAGGTCTTGCACTTCACCTTTAGTGAACTCGACGCTCTTCTTCAGACCGTTAGCTTGCTTTTTGCTGTAGTAGTTAAAACTGCTGCTAGTATCTCTTTTATTTGTTGTTCAGTTTTGTAAGAAAATAAATTTAGTCGTCTTACCTTTACAGACATTAATGACTGTGTCAATCACACCTGTCAAAACGGCGGCTCTTGTGTGGATGGCATCAACAACTTCGCGTGTAACTGCCTGAAGGGGTATACTGGGAGTCACTGCCAGACAGGTATACCGCTTTGAAGCAAAATTATACAGTTTTTAACCATTAATACTTAAATAAATTTGACTAGCACATTTAAATGGTCTGCCAAGTTGCCAAGTGGTCTGCCATACATTGTACTTCTATGTTTTTAACAGACATCAACGACTGTGTAAATCACACATGTTTGAACGGTGGGTCGTGTGTAGATGGTGAAAACAACTACACTTGCAGATGTGTTGCAGGATTTAAAGGAGATCGCTGCGAAACAAGTAAGATTTCTGGAATTTCACTGATATTAAATAATTTTTAAGTAACACTTCAGCAGGGAAAATCAGAAAATGTCCCAAAAATCTGAAAAAAAGAGTTCCATGAGAAATGTTATTGAGCAAGTCGGAAAATACCATAATATTCTTTAAAGTTCTGTTTGGCTAGTACCTTATGTAAGCACGACTTTTGTAGTATATATGAAAAGTAATCATAATATTAATATATTATTGTTCTTTGTAAAAGCAAAACTAACAAGGAATTCACATTCCATTAGAATTGCAACGAACAAAATTCTCTTTTCAGATAGTTTCTTCCGTATATTGCTTTTTCTTGAAGCTGTTCAAAGTGCTGTTTTTAGACTCTGCTGTTTATTTGTTTTAATTCTTATTTTTTTGGTTGTTCAGTATAATAACAGCATCATTAAAAGCGCCTTTCATTTTCGTTAAACAGACATAAATGACTGTGTCAATAACACCTGTCAAAACGGTGGTTCTTGTGTGGATGGCATAAATAATTTCACGTGTAACTGCCTTAAGGGGTATACTGGGAGTCATTGCCAGACAGGTGTGCCGCTTTGAAGCAAACTTATTTAATACAATTTTTAAGCAGTAATACGTAAATAAATTTGATTAACGCGTTTAAATGGTCTGCCATGTTATACATTGTTCTTCTATGTTTTTAACAGACATCAACGACTGTGTTAATCACACATGTTTGAACGGTGGGTCGTGTGTAGATGGCGTAAACAACTACACGTGCAGATGTGTTGCAGGATTTAAAGGAGATCACTGCGAGACAAGTAAAATTTATGGAATTTCGCTGATATTAAATACATTTTTTGATGCACAAGAAATTTACATAAAAATTGTATAAGAAAGGTTTGATAAGAATGGTATTACAGCGGTTACCACTAACACGCGCCCTCAAAGGGTTTTTTCTTCGGTTCAAACCTGCGTATTGACAAGATGAAAATTTAGCACTAACAAAATTTGAGAAACGTTCAGTCCTTGTGGCCATGGGCCTGCCAGAACTCCCAGATCTTAGACACACACAGGTAGATATAGGAACCACTCTGTTGTGTATTAGTGGGTATAATGGGTTACCTGGCCGAACCTTACCTATAAATTTAATACACGAGACTGCCCGACGGTCAGAAAGAGTGGATAATCCAGCTTTTTCAAGTGCTGTTTCATACGAAATACCAGGCCATATGATGGAAAGGGCCCTTTTTTGCACGTTCTCAAGATAGCAAGCAAGATACTTAGGCGAGTCAGCAAAGACAGCGGAGGCGTACTCTAGTATAGTGCGAATTAGCGCGCAGTAGATATGAACAATATCAGCCGACGGAACTTTGCACTTCTTGAGTTGTCTCAGTGCATAAAGCCGTCTGTTGGCCTTCCTCACTATTTAGTCGCAGTGTACTGCAAAAGTGAGGTCCTCAGAAAGATGGACACCGAGGAGCTTAAATGTAGAGACCTGTTCAATATCGGACCCACCAACCGTGATTGGGCGCGGAACGCAACTATTGTAGTGAAGAAAGTCAATAGTTATGGACTTGCATTTACGGGGGTTTAAGCGCATGTTGTTCTTAACAGCGAAAGCGTAGATATCATCAACTACTACATTCAATAACGATGGCGAATTGCGAGGTACAACCTCCAAAACGGTCAGATCATCCACGAATTTAATGCGGGCGCCCCAACTTTGAACAAGGTCATTGACCATAACAGCAAACAACACAGGACCCAATTTTGCGCCCTGAGGAATGCCTCCATTTAGATATAAAGGAGCAGAAACCGAGTCGCCAACCTGTGTGACCTGAGCCCTCCCTTGCAAAAAGGTTGCGCCCACCTAAACAAGCTCCAGTGGAGACTGAACTGTGTAGAAAGCTTCTCCATTAATATAAGGTGATCAATAAGGTGAAAACCTTTTTTTAAAATCAGCAATAAATAACCTTAGTTAGCAGCCGCCCCTGTCCAGGGCTTCTAAAGCCAAGTGTAAAAGATAGACAAGGGCCTGCTCGGTCGATTTACCAGCTACCGCAAATTGGTTTCTATCGAGGTTGCCTACAATAGATGGATATACTCTAGCTAATGTGAAGCCCTCCAGCACTTTAGCGAGCTGGCATGTGTGAGAGATAGGCCTCACATCGTCCTCGATGCACTTGGGAGGGGTCACCTTGGGGAGGGGGTGGACTATCGCACCCTTGAGGAGAGGAGGAATGAAGCCGTCACGAAGTGTTGAGTTGTAAAGATCGGCAACAACTGGCGCAAGTTCAAAGGCGAAAATCTTGGGAACGACAATCCCGTCGGGTCCAGCCGCCTTCTTGGTTTTAATGTCACGAAGAGTCTTATACGCCCCCCAAATTAGTGACGAATAACTCTTGAGGGATACAAGGACCATGAAATCTCGTAATATCGCCAGGTTTGTGTGGAATGATTACAAGGAGTACGAAGATTACGAGGAGTACGAATTTGTTGAGTGTCGGAATAAATTCGAATTATCAACATACTTACACACTGTAAGTCACAACCACATAAGCTTTCTCACTACACGCTCGAAACTGGCCTGAGTTCTTGCTATGAGTTCTGGATTCTATTCGATAACATGAAGAACGATAGGTAGATCTCCAGGTTACAAAATTCATTTTCAAAAACAGCCTCCATTCAGAGGAAACTTTTCTCCTTGTCGGTGTGATATCTCTCTTTTCTTTGAATTCATACTTCTTGGCAATTCGTCCACGGCTCACGTGTTTCAAATAAATAAACAAGCTGAAATCCTTTACGTAAACTAGAGAGAATGTTTCCGCTATTTCACTCAGCTCGCAGAGACCTCGTTGTTCTTACAATGTAATCCTTCATCTTAATGGAATAATTAAAAACGCCTTCGTCATTCGTAATTTTTCTTGTAAGTCTTCGCCCTTCCTTCAGCGATGAGGGAACCTTCTCTGTCAGAGCGCTTGAAAAACCATGGAAACAGTTGATTGACGTCCACGAAAACTCAGGTGTAAACAGAGAGCAAAAAAAAAAAACCCTTCGATTGCGTGTGTTAGTGGTAACCGCTGTAAGAGCGAAGGTCGGGAAAAATCGAGCAATTAAATCTTAATTTCATACTGAGTTTTGTCCATAGATAGCTTTTAGGTCGATAAGAAACCTGATGTAGATTGTTCCCGCCAAAAGCCTTTTATTTGTGAGGAAATTGAGACGATCGGTTTTCGAAGTCGGAGTCTCAAAATGGCGGCCCAATTTTTAACCTGAAATTCGCAAACATCAACTTTCCTCGCGTTCGCAAACAAAGCCGCATGGAGAATATTCAGGGCAAAGAGAGACTCCTCGTGCTGAAATAATTCAAAAGTGAGGGATAGATTTTCGGGATAACTAAAACTTAAGTTCGTTACTCATTTTCGGCGGCAATATTTAACATGTGGTGTAACGCCAAATTCTCTTCATGCCATTTAAATCACACCTTTTGAAATTCATCTAAAACACACTTGGGAATTGGTTTGGGTTATTGAAGGAAATCTCTGTAACATTTAGTTCAGGAATTTTCATGGTACGCCGGCGGTAATTGTGAAAACACTTCCAATTTCGAAATGCACAAAAGTAGATATTTGAACCCCAACGGCTCCATTTTCTTACTTCAGGCAGGTTTGCCCATTGCAAAGTTGCTTCTCTAATCAGTAAGTGAGTAAAAAAGGTCAAACGGGGTCAATTTTTGGCCATTTTGAAATATTGAGTCTACTAGCTGGCGACTCTGCGTGACAATCATTGTTCCGTGACTGCACGTGACAAAGTACGTTTGAGACGGATAATACCGTCAAAATGACAGTCACAGAGTCACCGTTGTAACGCAACGCAATTCATGGAAGAGTAACATTTCGATGCCGAAAGTGTTTTGAAGAAAACATCAAATGCGCTATAGTTCTGGTACTCACTTTTTTATCGAGAAATAAAGACTTTGACAATGATAATTCACTAAGGATGACGAAAGAGAAGATAATTCTTTTCGAGACGAGGAGACTTTGCGCCGTTCAATAAGTAATTTTGGTCACGCTTCACTACATTTGCCAGACTTCGATGCTTTCTTTTGGAGGCTGCCCTCAAGAATTAAACCCAAGCCAATTCTCAGGTATGTTTAGATGAATGTCTACATTGTGTGATTAAACGAGGACTGAGAAAATTTGGATTTATACCTCATGAAAAATAATGCCCTAGAAAACAACTACTAAATTAAAGTTTTTCGTTTTTTAATTTTGTCAGTTCAACGAGTCCCGCTATTGATTTGAAAGTATCTTCTAGAGGAAGAAAAAGAGTCTTTCTGTTGATGGAAATTTCTCCTTGCTTCTTTTTTTTTTTCTTTTTTTTGCGAAAGCGAGGAGAGTTAATGTTAGCAAATTTCGGGCTGAAAATAAGGCCATTTTGAGACTCCGACCACGAAAACTGATATTCCTACTTTTGTCGAAAATGAAAGGCTTTTTGCGAGAACAGTTTGCATCAGATTACGTACAATGTATCTGCCAGAAAAGCTACCTATCTATCTATCTCGATGCCAGATATTTCCTGACCGTCCCTCTTTTAAGACTTTAAAAACATTTTCACTTAAAAAATCAGATTTAAGGAAGAACTAACATAGCTGAATGATTTTCCTTGAAAATGATTTTTTTCCAGCGATTATTTGCTTTACTTGAGTATTCAGCCTTAGACTTTGGGTCTTTTTGATATTAGAACTAGGAGTAATCTGAGCTTAGGAGAGTGCGTTCGATATGTTTGTTAGGCGTAGAGGTAGCAGTTGAGGCGGAAGGGTGGTTGCGATATAGATAAATATGATTATGGCATATTTTCAACGTAAGGGTTGCGGGCAGCGAGACCTCTATTTAAACTGTGTATCATTATAAGAATGTTTTCAAAAGATATCGTATGGTTCGGTGTCAAGTGCTTGTAATCGGAGGAGACATTGGCCAGAGTGCCAGAGAGTGCGTCGGGCATGTAAATGGAACATTTTGTCTTATTGGCTTGAGTTACAGGGCGCAGTTGCTCAAAGGCCGATTAGTGCTTAACCCGGGATTCTTTTTCTTTCTTCAAAAACATTCCTTCGGATAATTTTCTCTGTTATTTTTAAGGGCATCCAATCATCAACTGGTTGACAAAATGAATTACATTGAATTTACTGTTATATAAAAGCTTTCAAATCTGAATTCAAACTTCGCCCCTGTCAAAGCCTTTAATGGAACGTGTGTGCGGCTCGCGTCAATAACTTTTCCAGTAATTTGGTCAAGCATGTTGATTTCAGTGACTCAAGAGTGGCGCTACTGTGGGCTGGTTTATAACTTTTTCCTAATAAATAACATAGAGTAAAAGTGTTCGTTTGTCTGGTGCCGCATCTCGGTAGATTTACTTTGTGACACAACGGCCACCGAACTATATAACTCGCTAAATTTACTTTGTGACACATCGGCCGCCGAACTTAACCCGGACGCGGTTTGATGCATGCACCAGGAGTCGCAGACATTTTCCAAAGACAGTGACGAACCATGCTCAAAAATATGAAGACTTGATCCAACTGATCCAAAGTAAAACTTAACAGCAAACTCCTGAAAGATGAACGCTTTGGACAATTCAGCAAACACAGATCGATGTACGCTTTACGAGGATTCAGCAAACTTTTAAAATGATGAACGCTTTACGAAGCTTTGACAGAATATCAGACCTTAGCAGGGGTGATGAATGGTCCATTAAAATTTTTAAATGCTCGCAAAATTTTACCTTTGCTCGATTTGCTCGCAAAATTTAAACGAGTGCTCGCTTGCTCGAGCTCCCAAAATGTTTGCAGTTGCTGGTAACCTCGCTTTCTTGTCAGTGGAAATGCACGCGATAAATAACAATAATAAATAATAAATTAGCTAATCTAGCTATATATGGTTATTTATGTTTGTTATATACGGTTGTTCTTCTGGTGACCTTTGCTTTCTGATCCGTACGAACACGTGCGTAATGAAGTGAAGTGAAATGTGACATCATTTGGCATCAAACGCGACTGTTTAGATCTCGATAAGGTGTCACTCAAACTAGCTTCAAAGAACTTGGTGCGCTCTGAATTAAAACCCCGTTTTAAAATATTTTCTGTTTTACTTTAAAGAAAATGATTTCCATATGGATTGCTGCAAGCGGAAAATATAAGATGTGCTCGCTGCTCACGAGTTGTACTCTTTAAACTGCTCGCTGCTCGCAAAGCAAATTTTTTATACCTGCTCGTGCTCGCAAAAAATCGCAGTGCTCGGCATGCTCGCGAATGTTCGCAAAGACCATTCGTCACCCCTCTCAGCAAATCTTTGAAAGATGAACGCCGAGGACACAAGAATTACCACATCAGTTAGCGCGTCAAAGTGAGGCAAAAAGTAAGCAAGCGCCTCAAAGCGAGGCAAATGTCTGTCGACGACGACGACGAAAATGCAATAGAGCGATTTTCGTATGACCTTGAAAAACGGTTCGGTAAGTGTTCGTCATCTGTTTCATGAGCCAATGGATGAAAAGATCAAAACATGGACTCTTCGTTTTCCCGCCAAAGAAAACCCTAACATGGAGAAGGCATTGTTCGATTGGACAATCGTGTTGCAGTATGACGTCAAAGCGAAGTATCTATTGATTTCTAGAAAGTTCTCGGGCATGAAGTTTTTTCATCCGAACGTTCGCTTAACCAACCAAAAGCCATCCGCGTCTGTATCCGTTCGATAAACCAATCAAATCGCTCTATTTCCTTCGTTTGTTGTGTCTGTTTTGTTCGCGCGTTTTCATTTCAAGGTCATACGAAAATCGCTCTATCAAAAAAACCTCACTTATTAATTGCACAGGACACCCAATACCCAACACAAATTAGGGGTTGCGTTCTCGTACCTCGAACGCAATAATTAGTACGTAATAATTGTTGTGTTGTTGTTCAATACGGGGAGTTTTTAAACAAGGAATTAACAACGCTATGTTCTTTGTATCCAATTATCTTCTCTGTATTATAGCATTGCTTTTTATTGTAGCTGATCAAACTGCTGCTTATGTATCACTCTAACTCGCTGTCCAGTTTTGTCAGAAAATAAATTTAGTCTGCTCAACTTTACAGACGTTAATGAATGTGCCAATCACACTTGTCAAAACGGTGGTTCTTGTGTGGATGGCATCAACACATTCACGTGTAACTGCCTGAAGGGGTACACTGGGAGTCTCTGCGAGACAGGTATGTCGCTTTGAAGAAAAATACGGCTTCAGTGTTGAATACAAGTCTTGAGGATTTATACTTGAAAAAATTGACTAACAGGTTTAAATGATCACCCACGTTATACAGTGTACTTCTATGTTTTTGACAGACATCAACGACTGCGTTAATCACAAATGTTTGAACGGTGGGTCTTGTGTAGATGGTGAAAACAATTACACGTGCAGCTGTGCTGCAGGATTTACAGGAGATCGCTGCGAGACAAGTAAGGCCTAGTTTAAAATAACGCCAAATCTTCGAATTTAATTCAATATTTACCATGCAATCAAATAAATTCAGCGATTCTGCGACATATAAATTGAATCAAATTTGTCTGAAGAATTTTAAGTTAAATTTAAAAATTTGTCCAAGACATTTTATCCGCCTTTGCCAGACAGACAAACGCTTGTAGAGCGTCTGTGCTTTCGATCGACGAGCTCTCATTTCGAGAGTCCGTCGTGGGTGGTTCAGCGGTGATCACTGTTGATCGGACGTGTTGTTCACCGCTCCGTGTAAATATAGCGAAAACTCTATTAAGCGGACCCCCAATTACGCGGACACCCTCTATTAAGCGGACACTAAGCCGGGTCCCGAAATTAACGTCGTATATTTCTCTTTATAACGAACCCCTATTCAGCGGACGCGGACATTAGAATAAATTATATTTGGCTAATTTCTATTGTTAATAACCTCTATTAAGCGGACACCGGACTGAATTGACAATAGTAGTATTGAATTACGTCCTTGAAATGTCTACAGTAGTCGATTAATAAAGATAAATCAATACATTAAGCTGTCAATAAACTATGGATAAGACCAATAGTCTTGCCCAAATTACAGCACAGCTTCCTTAACAACATGGACCTTTATCACAGTACAAAGTAACCGTTGAAAGTTAATCGCTTACAAACATTGCGCAATTTTTACAAACCTCTATTAAGCGGACAGTTGGGAAGGTCCCGAAGGTGCCCGCTTAATAGAGGTTTCTCTGTATAATCGTCTTTTTTCAAACCGTTCTTGGCGATACAATGGCCTTAGAAATATCGATCGCCATCCACACATTATCAATGGCAGTGTTCCAAGAAATTTCACGAGTCAAAAAAGGCCTCTTTGCTTCATAATCTAAGCACGTTATCATTCCAGATCACGTTCAAGGCGTGCTCTTCCAATACCGTTATGGATCTACGTCTGGCCAACAGGAGGGCAATTTGTATTCAAAGCTACTCCCGCATTAAAACTGGGTCTCTATCTTCTAATGAACAAAGCAATCAGACGCGATGATTAACAATACAGTCGACTCCCGATAACTCGAACCCTCGCTAACTCGAACCTCGCGCTAACTCGAACCAAAATCGAATTCCCCTGGATTTCCGTCATACATTAACTGTAATTTTACCCTCGGTAACTCGAACCCTCGATAACTCGAACCAATTTTCGTTTCCCCTCAGGTCATTTTCTATATAAGTTTACCCTCAATAACTCGAACCATGTTTTGAGCCCTTAAAAATTCGGGAAAAGTCTTCTGCCGGCGTCCGAAACATTGAATTTTGGATTTCTTATTGAGGTGTCGTAGGAATATAGTTTACTAGGGTATCTAAAAGATAGTAATGCTGCGGCACATTCTGTTGATACTGGCATTAGTTAGGCAGCGAGACTTAAAAGAATCGAAAATGATATTGAATGTCCTATTTACATGTTGGAAAGTACTAGAATAATTAGTATCAGTCTATAGAAAGAACTCGTGGGAACGTTGTTTAGAAAATGATCAGGTGGTTATAACTCTGGTTTTCCCACAGTAAATTGTAGGAAACAATAGAAATTCAGATTGTTTATCCATATATTTAATATACGGTGCACGATATTTTCTCTGGAAACACAATACTTTTCTTGCTGTTTGTTGCACTTTATTAAGTAACAGTTATTTAGCTATATATTTATAGAAAACAACTACACAGAAAACGGAAAAATAAGAAAGAAGGAATAATGAATTCGGTAGGACTCGAAACCTGCACCTTCGGCTCGACGCGACTACACCTAACCACTACACCACAGAGGCTAATTACGTAATTTGTAGGAAAAGTCTTGATTTATTCCCTTTCCAGACTTTCCATGAAACTTCCGCCGGCAAGATGATCGCCAGCCGCATTAACCGAGCTATTAACAGTGAAAAAAACAATGTAAACGCATATTCCATGGCAATGAATGAATGAAAGAACATAATTATGCTTTTCAAAACGCCGATACACGTCCTCGTCTGCAAAGTAGGACACAAAACATATGTTTTGTTATCTCGATTTCCGCTGTTATTTTGCAGCGAATGGTCAAAATCACATCCATTTTCGGCTCATACAGTTTCTTAAGAATAGCACTGCATGACATTTTCTCACTTTCACATCACCTTCTAGCAAGCTGGAATTTGTATATCCCCCGTGTTGCGGAGTCGAAGAGCAAATGCTCATCGTCTCGTCAGGTTTAACACCTGGACGAGTCAAAGGCTCTTAAATTGAAATCCAATCCCCAAGTTAACCATTGTACTCATCTGAAAGACTCCTGCGTGTCGTAAAATTTGGTAAGACCTCTAACCGTGCTGTAGAAAATTTGCCACAAAGAAACCTCTAAGTCTGAGCAGCGAACGATGCACTCTCTCACCCACCGAACTTCCCCGTGTTTTTATTTGAGTTGTTCGTGGCGCAATGCACTCTGGTTAAATATGCAATGCATTGTGGTAAAAAGTGTGGTTAAATGCAATGTATTGTGGTAAAAAGTGATGAATTCGAGAATTTGTCGCCCCTTATTGCTGCGGAGCGACCGAAGGGAGCGAGCAGCAACATAATCAGGATTTAAAGGAAATATATAAGGGGAGACGAATTCTCGAATTCATCACTTTTTACCACAATGCATTGCATTTAACCACACTTTTTACCACAATGCATTGCATTTAACTAGAGTGCATTGCGCCACTAACAACTCAAATAAAAACACGGGGAAGTTCGGTGGGTGAGAGAGTGCATCGTTCGCTGCTCGGTTTTCTTTGTGACAAATTTTCTACAGCACGGTTAGAGGTCTCACCAAATTTTAAGACACGCAGGAGTCTTTCAGATGAGTACGATGGTTAACTTGGGCATGGGATTTCAATTCAAGAGCCTTTGACTCGTCCAGGTGTTAAACCGTGACGAGAAGATGAGCATTTGCTCTTCGACTCCGCAACACGGGGGATATACAAATTCCAGCTGGCTAGAAGGTGATGTGAAAGCGAGAAAATGTCATGCAATGCTATTCTTAAGAAACTGTATGAGCCGAAAATGGATGTGATTTGGACCATTCGCTTCAAAATAACAGCAGAAATCGAGATAACAAAACATATGTTTTGTGTCCTACTTTGGAGACGAGGACGTGTATCGGCGTTTTGAAAAGCATAATTATGTTCTTTCATTCATTCATTGCCTTGGAATATGCGTTTACATTGTATATTCACTGTTAAAAGCTTGGTTAATGCGGCGATCATCTTGCCGGCGGAAGTTTCATGGAGAAGGAATAAAATGAAAGACTTTTCCTAACGACTTTGTAATCAGCCTCTGTGGTGTAGTGGTTAGGTGTAGTCGCGTCGAGTCGGAGGTGCCGGGTTCGAGTCCTACCGACTTACTTATTCCTACTTTCTTTTTTTTTCCGTTTTTTGTGTTGTTGTTTTCTATAAATATATAGCTAAATAACTGTTACTTAATAAAGTGCAACAAACAGCAAGAAAAGTATTGTTTCCAGAGAAAATATCGTGCACCGTATATTAAATATATGGATAAACAATGTGAATTTCTATTATTTCCTACAATTTACTGTGGGAAAACCAGAGTTGATAACCACTTGATCATTTTCTAAACAACGTTCCTATGAGTTATTTCTATAGACTGATATTAATTATACATGTAAATAGGTCATTCAATGTCATTTTCGATTCTTTTAATTCTCACTGCTTACCTAATGCCAGTATCAACAGAATGTGCCGCAGCATTACTATCTTTTAGATACCCTAGTATATTTCTTTTAAATCCTGATTATGTTGCTGCTCGCTCCCTTCGGTCGCTCCGCAGCAACTAGTGGAGGCTGATGTTGATTGTCACAGGCTAACGTAAAGCAGCTTTTCTTCTCAAAACAGTAAAACGCATGCTCTATTTAGGCTATGTTTTGTTACGTTACGTTCTGATTTATAATCTAGAAGTATCTTTTAATTTTCACTTGACATTTCTACAATTAAATGTGATTAAAATGTTCACTGTGCGTTAAAAACTGTTTTTTACCTTACTCTTGGCTATTTTCTTCGAACTCCCGATAACTCGAACCTTTTTTAGATTTCCCTTGAAGGGAGTCGACTGTAGCTGTATTGTTCGGGGCGAAGAGTCAGTGCCGTGAGAATTGGGGCAGTGTACCAACAAAATAAGGTAGAAAAAAAATCAGAATTCAAACCAATTGCTGCAATTCTTTTCCTTTTCTTCCAAAACACAATCTTACTGGCATCATTAAATTCAATGAAAAATTTGTTTATAAGTGCGCGTACATTATTTCTTAAATAGGTTTCTTTAGTTGCGCTTAAGTTTTGTGTGTGGTTTGCTTTCAGACATCGATGATTGTGTCAGTGTTACTTGTAACAACGGCGGTACCTGTGAAGATGGTATACAAAGCTTTACCTGTGTTTGTCCGTATGGGTACACTGGAAAATTTTGTGATACAGGTAAGCAGATTTTCTATTTCTAGACATTAAAATATGAGGGAAGCAGCCTTTACTTTTGAATTTTCCTAAAACATCTAGAAGTAAGTGAACAAAAAAATCTCATAGGAGACCTTAGAGATAGATGGATACCCAATACCTGCGATGTTAACCGATGTGACCATAAGTTTCAGTGCTTACATGCCTGCGACAATTTTTTTTTTTTTTTTTTTAAATTTCACTGCAGTTAAAAGTGGTGTATGCAAGAGCTCGTAGTTGCAATAAATTCCATGAGGAATTTTATTCTATATCAAACATGTGCCGCGTAGGTTCGAAAGTTTTGCTCCCAAAAGAGAATTGCATTAACAAAAGTTTCCAACTATTGTACCCCCCCCTCCCTCTTTAAACTAAGCTCCCGGCGAGATAAAGCTTTAGATTTGTTTGACAAGAAACAACATTGTTAAGACTAGCAGAATAGAAGGGGCGCTGTACGTTAGTGAGTTAAGTTTGCTCACCTAATTCTGTTTCTTCAAATAAATGGTACAAGTTTTTTTTACTTTTATTTCAGAGTTACCAACTAAATCTTCAGAGAGTACCACAGAACCGGCACAACTAACAACCGACGAAGTCTCCGAGGAACAGAAGACAGGTTGATAGATTGATATCCATAAATTGAAATAATAAGAAACATATTGTTTGCATTTAAATAAACCAGTCCACAAATTTTACACCTCGACGTACAATACCGTGTTAAGATAGCGGCGGTTTTAAGTTACTGTTAGGGACCTACCACACCACTTACAATGCAGACATCCAAGATGGCGGCGATTTTGAACACCAGTTTAGGTTTTGCCATGATAAGGTTATTTGCACAAAAAACAAATTACTTCATGTTACCCTTTTGTTGTATCTGGTAACCATGACAACCGATTGTCACCATACTTGGCAAAAATGTGTCTTTAGATTAGAGAACAGGAGAACAGCTACCTAGAGGTGTGAGGCTCTAGAAAAACCACATGATGAATAATGATAATAATAATGATAATGATAATGATGATGATAAAATGATTGACAAGCAATATTTTTCACCGATGAGTCGCCTATGTGGTGAAAGGGAGGAAACTGTCAGCCATATAACAACAGAAATACAAGAAATTAGCTCAAAAGCAATAAAAGAACTGGAGGCACGATCAGGTTGCTAAAGTTGTTCATTGGAATCTCTGCCAAAATTACGATCTGTAGTGCAAAGAAACTTAGTACAATTAGGGAGTGATGGAAAATGACCAAGTGCAGTTACTGTGGGATTTCAGAATTCAGACTGTGATCACCATTTAGAACATAACAGGCCCGATATAGTTCATTCATTCATTCGTTTTCATTCATTCATTCATTTTTTTTTTCCATTAACCAGAAATACAAGAACAGTATACAGAAACTTATAATACATTAAAGATAATATACAATATTCTAACTAAATTATTTACAAGATCAGATATTTAAAGTGGTAATGACAAGGAAGTCTATAAACTATAGACTTCCTGAAACTATAGGGTAAACGGCCACGCAAGTTAAGTCGTATTGGAAAGGGGAGCAGAGTGTGCCAAACCATCGATGTAACATGTCCTTTTGATACCCGACTTGCAGAAAAAGAACGAGAGAAGATCGACTACTACTAGGACTTAAAAGTGGAATACAAAAGATGTGGAACTGGAAAAACGTATCTGTTGTTCCAATTGTAATTGGGGCACTTGGGGCAGTGACCAAGGAGCTGGACGTAGCCAAAGAACTAGAGCTGCTACGGAAAGCATGCAACATTGTAGATCCCAGCTACAAATCACTGTTTTAAAACGAAACGAGCTTCAGCGCAATGCTGCGTGTAAAAAGCACAATCCAGGCCTTAAAGCGTCTTTCGACAGTAACTAAAGTACAAAATGCGATAGAAAAGAACTTTATGCTATTTGTAGTTATTCAAGCCTTAAAAAAGTCGGTTATGTTCCTCTGCATGCTCTGTACACCTTTCGCAAATCGTTATTTGATATACAGCGGTTAAGCTTTTGAAATCGCGCACCTTGCAAACACAAACTATGATCACCTGATCACTGCAATAAAGAGGTTAAATTTATGTGAATTTACTCTCTGGTGTCGAGATTTAATGTGCGTCGTCAATATTAGAGAGATTCCGTATTATGGAGGTTTTTTTGATAATTTTTTGATATTTTTTTCGGGACATTAGAAACTGTCCGTATTAGAGAGATGTCCGTACCGAGAGGTTCGACTGAAGTAATAATAATTATCATAAAAATTACTATTATTATTATCATTATTATTAACGGCAGTGCTATAATTATTTGCAATCACAATAACTATATCTACTTCACCTCTCTGTACATTATATTTTTATTCAGATTTCACTTTCGAAGTTCGTGTTAACGAGGAGTGGGACGACCAATTAAAGGACGAGAACAGTGAGAAATATAAGAAAATATCCACAGTGCTTAAAGAACAGGTACAGTTAACCAGGGAGGTACAGTATCAGATTTAATTTTTTCAAACTGGCAAGATTTTTTCCTTGGGAATCCCCTCTTATCCCTTTTCATTGCATGCTTCCCAGGCAACAATAAACGTTTTTGGCCAAAATTAAGTTCAATAGTATGTCGTTAAGTAAAAAACACTCTAACTCATCACGAGTAAATTTAATGTGTAGTTTAAAAAAATAACAATAAACTAGAAGACTGCCGATGGAAGATTCATTTAGTTTAAAATCCCATTTTATAATAATTTATGTCCTAGCAAAAAAGACTTTTTATTAGCTGACAGGGAGTATGTTATAACGCTTTTGATCGTCAATACCTTTTTGAAGAGTACTGAACAAAGATTACCTAAATATTTCTTAGAGTCGAGGTGGCTCAGAGGTGAACAATTTTGCACTTCCTTCTCTCAAGCCTTAACTGCCATTTCGTTTAGATACTTGTACTAGTATTTCGACAAGAAACTAATTGCACTGTGAGTGTGTACATGGGTACCCGCAACATACAGCTGAGGGTAATTCTGATTTTGACTAGCACCCCATCCAGAAGTTGGCCTAACAATAAAACAAAACGCTTTCGCAACTGCCTCCAGGTTAATCTCCCACCGTTTTGCTTTCACTCGCGCCTAACCAAAGTTTTCCCATAGTCACGTATTAAACTTATAGAGCCTTTTCATATGAAGTCAGGTCCGCCATGTTGGTGTCTCAAAATTATAATACGGCGGCCATGTGGATGATTGTAACTAGTCCTGTGGGAGTTGAACTCTCTTCTCATGTAAACGTTTTCTTAAGTCGCAATAAATTTGCAAAGCTGCTGGCCACGTAAGTGAAAACACTCTAAACTAGGCTTAATGAAGTATTGAGAAAATATATTAATGTCTCTTGACGTTGCCAACTAAGTGCTAATTTTGATTGCTATTTAGAATTTTTTGTGCGTTAATACAGGAAAAAACTCACTATTTCTTTTTATCTTTTTATCTATATTCTTCACTCGACATTGCAGATTCAAAGAGCATATTTTGGAAAGTCTGAACTGCAAAATGTGGAGATAATTTCATTTAGGTAATGTGCATTTAATTGTGATTATCATTGGCATCATAATCTTCATCATTATTTTATAACTATTATTATCATCATCATCATCATCACTATTATTATTATTATTATTATTATTATTAGTCTGACATCGGACTTTGTTCCCTTGACCGACTCTGGAGTAACCAATCAACAGGTCCGCCCGGGCCTCCTAGTGAGTATCAGGGAGGTGCATGACTCTTTATCAACCCTAATTTAATGTTGGGAAAGCAATTGGCCCTGATATATGATACCGAATAGGGTCTTAAAGGATTTCGCACCTGAACTCGCCCCGCTAGTTATGGATATTTATAACTGCTCACTCAGGGAGGGCTATGATCCTGATCTGCTGAAGCGATCCATAATCAACCCCCTGCCCAAGGTTTCTCCGCCTCAAGAAATTCAATCTGACTTGAGACCTATCTTCCTGACATGCACCCTTGCCAAAGTCATGGAAGGGTTTGCACGCTGCAGGCTCGTGGCCCAAATTTCGGAAAAACTTCACCCACGCCAGTACGCAAGGGAGGGGAACTCCACCACGGACGCCTTGATTTAAATCCTACAGGTGATTCACGGTGGCAACTGATCGTGGGAATTGTGGGGCTAGAATGTTCTTTGCCGATTACTCAAAGGGTTTTGACCTGATTGACCATTCGATTCTTCTCAGGGAGTTTACTTCTTTCGATATAGACTCTTTGACAATCTTAATTAACTGGATTAGGGCCTTCCTGACTGGGAGATCGCAAGCTGTAAAATTGGAAACTCTCTGTCTGATTGGAAGTCAACCAGGGGAGGTATCCCGCAAGGGACGAAACTGGGTGTGATTTTGTTTGCTGTGATGACCAACAATCTCTTGCGTGGCTGGCATTTGAGGATTAAATTCGTTGATGATACCACGGCATTAGAAATCCTGCCACTGAGGAATGGTATTAGCTTACTAAATGTAGCTGTCAATGATATTCACAAGTTTTCTATCGAACATAATATGAAATTAAATCCGAAAAAGTGCAAAGAAATGTTAAAAAATCTCCATGAATCTCCCCGTCTTAATTTTGTTAGAACAAACCAGAAAAGACAAGGGACTTCCGCTTTTCACACGTCACACGTCACACATCTATCAAAACTGTCAACGCGCGAACAAGATGAATAAAAAATCAAAACATCACACCGATGAACATTTCTAAAAACTCATCGGGGTTCTAGGATTTTACACAGCACGACAACTAAAAACACAATGAGAACAAAAATAATTTTGAACTGCAGGCGTCGAAATTACTGTGAATTTAATTTTATGGTGCAGTTTTGCTGAACGAGACAAGAAGCGATACTGACGCCTGGATTGCCGTAGTGAATGGCTGCATACCCTCTATTTGTAGCTAGTTACTTGTGATTTATATCCTTTATGTCGGATGAACAGACTGCAGTTATCTATCGGCGAGTGGCTTCGCGATCATGAAGAAACAAATTGCGTCACCTATGTTATGTAAATTACATTACACTCTTCCCTCGAAACGTGAGTTTGGGGTGCCTGTGACCAGCCACACGTTAACATCGTTTTCATGCACCAAAAGCGCAGGTTTTCAAAAACGGTCCCCAAAGTAAAGATTTTTGAAAACACCTACTTCTAGTATACATGTGCACGGACGAAAACGGATGTTTGCGGTTATGATGATGTCATACATCATATACTTCTAGTATTACGTATTCTCTGTGGGGGATGCTATCGTATTTCAATCGTTTTAGCGTTGTCATGTGGACGTGCGGAAACGATTCAAATGTGCTTCGTGTGCACGCGTATTCCTTCTTTTTTTTTTGGAAGCGGAAAAACAATAATAACAAAAATATATCCGGATACCTGTGGACGAGGCCTTAATTCTTTGTGATTTTTTTCCTCAGGAAAGGCAGTATTGTAGCTGAATTCAAACTGACATTCAAAACGAGTCTAACTGCCAAACAAGCCATGGCCCCACTAAAGCAAGAAACAGCCGATGGAAAACTAGGGAGCTTAGAGGTGGACTCTAATTCTTTGAAACTTAAGGACAACAATCAAGGTAAGTTGCCAACGAGATCTTACCCAAAAGTAAATGGTACTGTGAGCGCGTTGAAAGCTGGAGATGTATCTTAAGTAGGTTGTATCAGTTATGGGCTCCTGGTTGAATATATATGATGGTATGAGTTTGGTTCTTCTAATATCCAAAACATGTGCGGAGGTTGTAAACATACTCGAATTGATCTGTAAGGATTAGACTCTAATGATTGGTCAACTACTTTTCCATTTTATCGGTTGCCGGCGGTATAATATTATTGCCTGTGAGGACTCTAGGCGCTTTGCGTAGAAATTTATCGGCGTTTTTTTTCCCACGTTAAACAAGCTTTCTAAAGCAATATCTAAAGAGCACGTTCTACATTTGTTAGAACTACAGCCACTGCGATTTTTTTCTTTAATCATGAGCCTTAGACCTTAGGATTGAAATTGCTTTGTGACATGGTACTTTATTCTCATTTACTCAAATACTACCCTTGACCCACAAACACACTCAATCATTTTTATTAGAAAATCATTAAAAAAATTTAAGATCTATTGCTTCCACTGGCAGTTATATTGAAAGAACCATGGAAAGTATTACGAAAAAAAAAAAAAATCAGTCGGAATATCTCGAATCGCATGTTAATCTTGTTGGATGTATTTTGCATTCCACCTAATTATTATTGTCTTATTATTGTCACAGGTGGAAACAAGGAGGAAGAGTCCAGCAAGTCGTCCAATCTGCCGTTAATTATTGGGGTTACGTGCGGTGCTATCGTGTTAATTGCCACCATCGTAATCTCGGTCGTTTTCCACTGTAGACGCTCCAATCCACGTGATACCAACAGCGATCGCATGCCTGCCGAAGGGAGCGGCTCAAAACGAGAGCGATATGAATTGAAACCAATAGATTCGAAGGACAAAGACATTGTTTCGGTTGAGGAAAAAGGCATTAATAACGAGGGAATGGAATAAACGGCCCACTGATACCTCACCCCCGTCTTGCTAAAATACCTTCATTTTCTGAATCTAGCAAATGTGCTTACAAGCGACACTTCTTTTGACAGCATCTTACTGTCTTCGATAGGGCAGTGAGGTCAAGTTCTCACTGACGCTTGCAACTTCAAGCACATGTTTTTGATTGTTTGTTTTTAAGTTGTACTTTTTTAATGTTTATTTTTTTAGTGGCAGCTGCTTTTATAGAAATATATTAACCGTACATTGCAATACTAAAATTAAAACCACGCTTGAGTGACAGTTTGCATAGCAGAAGCTTCACCTTATATTTCAGTATTACGCTATTGCGTCTGAAAGTAGACGTTACCTTGGTAGCAAAAGTATTTCTTGACAGAGATGGACATTTGCATTGTCCAACGAAGGAAGAAACGTATGGGCACTGCATGAATTCTCCTCTGGAATTATGCTCAGGAAAATCATGCATGTCGATTTTTATTTCCACAATTTTTGCAGGACCACGGTTTGTTGAGATCCAGAAATTTTGCTACCATGGCTACGTAACATAGCGACTTCGCTCTCTAAATAGATTATTATGACATTTCTATAGACCCTAGCAATTAGATGAATGGTTCTGTATTACTGCTTGAGAATATCATATGATCGTATATATTACCTTTCATGATCTTTCGTTATATGGTTATGATCAAAACAATAATAACAATAATTAAAACATCAGTGTATGTTACGAATAGAAGCTAACCTAAGAACCTTAAAGGTTGATTAACTAGAAGGATTCGCATTATGAAATATAAGATTATCACATAGACCTACAAAATGTGTTTCGAATTAAATAAAATGAAGATTGCTTTTTTTGCTGAATAAAGAATTTTATATACAAAAAGTTTATATTTTGTCAATGGAACAATGGACTTTTTTTATTTATGTCAATTCCCCACTGCTAAGCTTAAAATCTATATACAAACATTGATGAACCCGAATTTTTACGGCCGCCGTTTTAAATGACGTCACAGGTCCTGCAGCGACATATCGCATAACATTTACAATTCGAGAATAGCTAATTCGAAGATTTTCTTATCTTCCCTTCTTTAGTTTAATTGGCTGCAGTTCCGATCCTTGTAAGTAATAAAATAAAATGAAGTAAAATGAAAATTGCCAGGATCCCGCTTTCAGGATCCGGATTTCCTTACATGGACCGAGGCAAAAACCTAGCAGAGGACGAGAAATAACGAAGCACGAGACAGTATGAGAAGGAAAGCTTCGACTTTCCCTCGATTTCCTATTCCGTTCAGTTCTATATACGGTAAACGGAACCTAAATTAAGATAGCAATGTTGAATGACGAAATGGTGGCCCAATACCATCATTTTCAAATTCTTATAGTTCCTAATTCTGTGCGTTCTTTCGTTAATGAGCTTTGTGCGAAAGTTTAGTTGCATGTAATTAATGGAGAAATACAGTATGAAGTTAAAAAGACACTATTTGGCCGGTAATTATCAGGTAAACAGTTTTGCCTTAATAGAGTCAGATTGGGCGTCCAATTTACGTTTCGTTTCTTTATTAAAGAAGAATAAGCAGTGGACGCGTAGATCTTTATTCGGAAGGGAAATTCGTTAGCACCTTTTGCACTTGTGTGAAATACCCCAACCCCCCAAAATGAAAAGTCTTCAACGAATTCATCTTTTACTTTGTCTTATTTTTACAATTCGCTGGATATATGCGGAGTTAATGTTGCATATCAACATTTTACTCGAAATTGGAACATAATTGCTGTAACATTATCTCTTTCGAACGAAAGTACGCACCGTTATAGTTATATCAAAATTTTAAAGCAAAGAGATAATTAACATAGGAATCTATCGCATACTTAGCTAATTAGTTGACTTGCAGATAAATGTAGATACCACCTTTCACCTGTGTATTATGATAGGCTGAAGTGACCAACTAATTGTAAAAGCGCCCACTTACAGGTCGTTTTATCCGCAGAGAGGTAAATATCCACCTGCGGTGGTAAATATTTTTCTGTCCATTTCTGTACATCTGGGGAACAATTTGATCCTTGCCGCTCTGAAGGTGGCTCGACCCAGTATTTTTGTACGTACACCTTTAATCTCTGAATCTCTTATACTTAAACAAATGGATCTTTATTGTAAAAACATAACACATGTATTACACATAGACTAAACTTTACTATGGTATTATTTTTTGGGCGATCGGAATAAATATCACGTGACAATGACGTCTCAATAATTTTAGCTCTAAATCGAATTACTGTCCTTAACGGCATTTTCTTTCAAAATGCTTTACGGTACCTATACTTTGGGTGCTTGTCTTCTGTTGTGCGAAGTTTCACAAAAACTGATCTATTGGAGGAATTTCGAGATATCTTATAATTTAAATTATGCATGAGCTGAAGGTTAGACTTCATGCAGACAATTTTGCCACGTTTCGGAGGTTTTCAAAAGGTTTTTATCACTCATTCGTTTTGCAAACGACCTTTATATACTGTACAATCAGTACAATCAGTAAAACGCAACGCTGAGCTCTTTTTGTCAATTCTAAGGCTCCTCTCACAAAAACAGCGATTAAATCAAAATTCGTCGATAGCTTTTGTTTACAAAATTTCAGTGCTGAAATTGATCAGTGTAGTATAAAATCCCCGAATTTGGCGTCCATTGAAATTGTCTAACGAAGTCCCAAAATTGAGTAAATATTGAAGCGATGTTATAGATCTGGGCCGGGTTGTTCAAAGCTGGGTTAAGATAACCCAGGGGTAAGTGCAAAATTTGAATTTAAATGTGAAAGCTTATAATTAAAAGTAAATTCAGTTTAATTCTTTCTGTCAACAAGTTGATGAGTCGATGCTCTAAGAATATCAGAAAAAATTGTCCGAGAAAATGCTTTTGAACAAAAGAAAAAGAAACCCGGTCAAATTTAACCCTGGTTTAAGCGCTAATCGGCCTTCGAACAACTGGGCCCTGGCTATGCTATTGTGGCGTTATTGTCATATTATGCAAAGGAGGTTAGAGCTAATTAGCATAAAAAAATGTAACACTTAGGCGTCACCCGGGTGGGGGGGGGGGGGTACTCCCATACATTACCTATACGGGTATTTGCCGCCCAACGGGGTCGTGATTTTGAAGCTCCTGATTTAGAACGGGGTATCCACTTCAGAGGTGTTTTCTAGAAAGGGGTATAAAAAATTGTGGATCACGGCTTTATCTTCTGCTTAAAATTGTTGCTGATTATGAAGAAGCATTTATTTGATGTACAAGTCGAACAAATAAAGAAATATCTTTTTAAAAAAACAGGGTGTATTTCAATTTACAAACTTTCTAGAACGGAGTATCAGTTTTAGGGCGAATTCTAGAACGGGGTATAAAAAATTGGCCCATTTCTAGAACGGGGTATCAATTTTAGGGGAATTTTTTATTAGAACGGGATGCCAATTTGGAGTCCTGGGCGGCACATACCCACCCAAAAAATACCCAAGTGCCCCCCCCCCCGGGGGGGCGTCACCTCGTGGTCGTCTATTTACTTTCGAAAGACGCTTTATTTTTTAGTTTCTAAGCGAAATATCGAAGTTGAGAAGATAGAGTTGAGTTAAGTTGAGTTGATAGAAGTCATCAAAATAAGCAAGGCTTTGAACGCACAATGCTCAGCGGAAAGGAATTAGCTGCGTTTGAAGAATTAATATGTGTGGCAGACATAGCCGACTCGGCGAATTGCGCATAAAGATTCTTGCTGTTTTCTTACCTCGATTTCCGGGTTTATTTTGCTTGTTATCGTCCAGAATTCTTCAAAATAATTTGCTTGACTTGTTTTTGGTCAAAATTCGTCGGTACAGGCTTTCATTTTTCGCAAAAACCGCCACAAATCTGTGCCGCATCGACCGCCACTTTTCTCAGTTTTTAAAAAATCGTTGCGTGAATCTCTGGAACTAGGCACATAATTAATAAATCTATTAACTTCCTGTGGGCCAAATTTGGAGGCAATCGGAAGTAACGCAATTTTTTGTGTGCCGGTGCCTCTACCATCTTTGGAATCGTCTTATAACCTCATGGTATTTACATCCGTAGCTCTATGTACTGCCATCACAATCTTCGCCTACACAAAAAATTTTCTCTCCTTGGGTCATAACCAAACTCTTGAGGACAACTGAGCCAAGCAATTCCACTGAACATAGCTCTTTAAAGAAAGGCAGTGCCCAGTACCCTGTGTGTCCAAGTAAGTCTACGAACTACAGAAGGACAATTTTAAGTAAGGCAAAAATGCTATAATTTACCGCAGACATTTCACATTATTTATAGCATCATGAGAGGCATCTTTATCAAAAACTGGTAATTGTCGACTCTTATTCGTATACGTCGTGGGTAAATTAATAATCAGATTTTGGCAGAGGAAAATAACCAAGGATAAAATTTCTCCACGACATCTAAAAATGGTTTTTACCTTCTAAAACCTTGTAGACTGCTTTTATTTTTAATAGAGTTTTTTTGTTTTTAATAGAGTTCACATGTGAAATTCGTATCAACGAAGAGTTGGACGATCGATTGAGGGATGAAACCAGCGAAAGATTTAAGAGACTTCCAGCATTACTTAAGGAAGAGGTCTGTTTCAATTATATACAGCTGTAGAACTAACTCAAAAGCTGTCACAACTATGACGTGAGTGTGTGCGTGCGCATTGTTGTGAATTCCGTTAGACGTCATTGAAAAAGATCGATTGGTGATCTGGCTTTTTTCACTGCCACATTTCAGTGGGAACGTCCTGTAAACAGGCTATGGTTTTAGTTAAACTATCTTCTGGCGTGGAAGCAACCTTTAATTACACCTATGTTTTTTCCTTTGCTGATTTTAAAGGTATATTCTGGGAACTCAGAACTAATAGAAGTTGAAATAGTTTCATTGAGGTAAGGCCTTTTACTGAAAATAATAATAATAATAATAATAATAATAATAATAATGATAATAATAATAATAATAATAATACACCTTTCAACGCTGAGACCTTTTCTATCAACATGGAATGTTACATGGAAGAGTTTTTTCCTAATTAAAACCATACATAGGGACCATAATGCTCGGAATGGAAATCATCTGTATTTTGAAAACAACTTTTCGAAGAACGTAACAATTAATACGGTGATAAACATATTCTTCTTACTAATTTTTATAAACTTGACGTTTTGTATGCTACTCAACATACGTTTTCAAAATTACCGTTAAATTTTGAAAACTATACTTGTATAATAGTGAAAATGAATGGGACCGAGATTAAGCACAAAACTTAACAATTAATCTATAAAAAGAACCAACTAATTAATAAAGCACGCTACTGACGTTTACATTGAAAGCTGGCTTCAGTTCCTGTTAATGCCATGTTACTTTGATTTTACAGTGATAATCAGTTTTTCCCGAAGCTAAGATATCAAAATGACCCCACTTGATGCTGTGTCCTTTGGTGTTGACATACCGTATTTATTCGGATAAGCGCCCAACCTCGAATTAGCGCCCACCTCGAATAAGCGCCCATCCTAATGGCAGAAAAAGTTAATAAGCGCCCAGCCTCGAATAAGCGCCCACCCCCTCCTCCTCCCAATCAAACTCAAATAAGCGCTCACCCCCACCCCACCCACTTGAGTGAATAAATTCTAATAAGTGACTTTCCCGAGGACGGAGTTTTCTTGAGAGTATTTTACAGGAACCTTGCTTTGTTACTTCTTCGCGTTTTGTTATTAGCATTTATTGTTTTGTTGCAAAATAAACATACTTCACTTGCTGAAAATGGTGAAAACTTAATAAGCGCCCAGCCTCGAATAAGCGCCCACCTCGAATAAGCGCCCACTCTCAAGGTCCAAAAATTTAATAAGCGCCCAGGGCGGTTAATCGAATAAATACGGTAGTCAGCAACAGAGCTCTAAAGTGTGACGACCTAAAAAATTCAATTTGTGAAATTATGGGATTTAGGATATTCCGAAAGAACAACGGCCAACGTTTAGACCCAAGTCAATTTACAAGGATTTGTATGGAGTCATAGGAGTATAACTGGGCTAATATCTCAGACACAAGTTGTCCCAAAATGCTAAGTTTTGGCCAGTAGACGTCATGGGCGTTGTTCTTTCAGAACATCTTCACAAATCCCTTAATTTAACAAATTCAATTTTTATGAAGTCGTCACTTTAAAACTCTATGGCTGATGTGCGGTCCCAGTCCCTTTCTGTAAGTAATAATTTTTAATTCCTTTAACAGAAGAAAAACGAAAGGAAAAGGAGTCATCCAGTGAGACCAAACTGCCATTAATTATTGGTGTTTCTTGCGGTGTGTTTGTGGTCATCGCAGTTTTCACAATATGTTTTCTTTACGTTTTCAACTGGAAGCGAAGCACCCAATTTGGCAGCAACAACGGTGTTTGGAGTGACATGCCTGCCGATGAGTGCACCTCAAGACGTGAGAAATACGAACTGAAAGTCAAGTATTCGAAGGACAACGAACTAATCTGGGAGGAAGAGAAAGGCATTTGTAACGAAGGGATGGATTAAACAAGCCTTTGATGGCTTGAACTAAAGACTTACGTGCTAAGGAAGCTTGCATTATTGTTTTTTAGCATCAGGAGCCCATAACCCGGAGCGTGCAACAGCCATAAATTCGTGCAACGGCGTTTTTACAAGTGAGTCTATTTTTAGATAAGCTTTTCCCGCGAAAAATGACTGTTGTCGCTCGGACCTTTTCACAGTCGGCTGTTTCGAAGATGATTTCGATTTTCCTTTACGTGAATTATGCGTTGTCGCCGATGAAGTAGACGTCCCGGGCTCTTAATTTCTTCAACGTTTTGCAGATCTTCCTCTGAACTGCTAGTTTCGGTGTATTCTGCAAGGATTATGTACCGGAAGATTGGAACCCGTTCAAGACATCCATAACAATTCTAATCATTTTTCACAGTTCTTGGTTTGTTTGCAATCATAAGGAATGCCTGGCAATGCGACCTATCATGCACGGCTCGCACTGAACACCCGAATAATTGGCTAGGCTTTCTGTGACACGAAAATGTTCGAACGAAGAAAATATATTTTTGCGCCACTGTCTCTGGGGTTTTAAAGGACTTTCTTACATGGGGGGCTTAAATCTTCTGCTAAGAAATCGTAGCACTTCACATGTAGTATTGCTTTCCTGAGAGCGAGTCCTTTCACATCCCCTTATAACATGTAAAACCCCCCGCAGTGGACTAATTGTATCTTATCGTAATCTCAGGAAGTATTGATACCTTGGCTCCAGCTCGTTTTGCTCAAGGTATTCAATCTTGAAAGCAAGGACGGACCAACTTACAAAATCCTACTAAAGGATCTAATCAGCTATAAGTGGAAATGTTGGACAAAAGAAGCAAGGCTGATTTTACATTCGGGAATAAACAATTCTTTTACCAATATTTCGGAAGGCACGGCCTTCCTTCTTCAGGGTCTTCTTGCTCAAGGTATGCTCGATGATTTTATGGCTGCCATTTTCTAACTTAATTTTGAATAAAATATAAATGTTAGATAATTAAACTAAGGAGGTAAAAACGAATTTATAGACTTGAAATGTAATTTTAGGCAGGGTAGGGTGGGTGAGAGGCTGCAAAACCTCTCGAGTTCTTGTTGTTGTTTCTAAGGTTCGTTAAACTGCTTGCAGTCCGCCTTTTGTCTTAAAATCCGTCTAGTTCTTATCTTAGCCAGCGCGATTGAAAACCACGACGTTACGTTACAACATGGGATTGGGAAGAGACGATATATTTTCTTCTTGGGCTTGAGCCCTCGTTTGTCGCGGCACGAGTGCGCTTGTGTTTCGCTTGCAGTAACTTTGCAGAGAAAAATAAGAGTCTGCTCGCAGTCTAAAGTTCGTATTCTGTTAAGATAAACAATCGTTTTCACCCACGTGGTCAGAAGCTATGCACAATTTATGGAACAAAAGGAAGTTTCTTCATGAGGAAAGTGTTTTGTTGGATTCCGGATTCTCTGTAAGAGACCTGTGGATCAGTAAACAATTCCCCCGTTGTTAAGTAAAATACCATGACCAAATTACGGATAAAACGTCATCTAGTTCCCCCGGCCCTGGGTCTAATTCCACCCATCCATTAGGATAACCGCAAAAACGCCGTTCGAATTACCTTACATTAATAGTCACCTGAATCCTAACTCTTTGCGAAGACAAGTATACGAAAACTTTGACGGACAGCCGCGTAGTAAGTTGACAGGAATGTTATTTCTAGGATGTGTAAAATGCCAAATGCCATCTTTTTAAAATCGCCGTTTACCAAGGTTTTTTTTTTTTAATCAACATTTAACTCACTGTCATTCCGCCAGACCTTTGTGTTTCCAGGTACATTACTTGGTGGCTTCTAAGTTCTGTCAAAGTCGTTGAGTTTCTTTATCGTGTCGTTTTTCTTTGAATTTTTTGTTTATATGGATAAAAAAGGGAATTTAAACTTCTCATTCATGAATGGCCTGACTGTACCTTTGCCTTCTTCACTGATTTATTTTTATTTCATTACCAAGGTTCATAAGAGGGGGAAATCAAAATAAAATGAGAAAATAATAGTTAACCAATTTGCTCATACCTCGCTAGCACGCCTGTTTATGATAGCACACTCATCTTAGCCTGCGTTGCAGCAGGCCCACGCACTCGTCAAAACCATTTGTATAGTACAGAAGGTTTAGAGTGTCTGCGACGCAGGCAAACTCATCTTAGCAGCCAATTTTTACGCTGTGGCTATATGGCCGGTAACCGGTCAAGGTTTTCAAAACATTAAATGACCGGCAGTCCGGTATTTTCAATAAATTTGACTTATCTAAGAATCCCAACCAATCCAAACTATCATATGTCGATTAAGAAAAGTCAAGCGATCCTGAAATGCTTTATAGATCTCAAGTCTAGCGTTTGGTTTGCGCTGGGCTCAGAAAACTAAACCATGTTTTGTGACACTTAAGAGCGACTTTCTGTAAATACCACGGATAGGTGTGCAAGCTGGAAAAAATCGAAATCTCCCAAACTTTGTCACATTAAAGCCCTTATGAAACTATTTTAGAAAATACAAGATTCAGTTTCTTGTGATTGATATTTTCCAAAATAATAATTTTTTTGAATTTTCACATCCGAGAGGCTCTCAAACCACCGAAAAATGCGCTTCGCATCCTTGCTTTGTGAATAGAAAAAGAAACAAATACCATGACTATAGATGATTTTATGACCCTTCCTTTCTATGAAAACGTTGCTATAATTTCAAACGATCTCAGTCTGAATTTTTAATTATTTTTCAAAATCACCCTCTTAAACAGTTTTATCGCGACTATCAATTTTGCCATTTTTCAACGGCAAAAAACCCTTCCTGGTACATGGCTTTCGTTCTGCAAATGCTATTCCAGAGAAAGAGCAATCCTTCTTCTTTCAATTTTTGAAATAAAATTTTGGGCAATTCAAGCGGCAAGTTTTGAGAACTGAAAACATTAACAGTACTTGCGTGAAATTTACAACTTTTGAACTTGCGGTTGTAATGACGAATACAAGAGTAAAGTTGGACCGCAGTTGCAATTTTACTAATAACGCGGCCTTTTCCCTTAGCTATTAAGAGAAGACTGGTTACTTTTTATTGTTTACTGTCTTTCCTTCAGTTTACGCCGAAAAGGAGCTTCCTTCTTTGCAGAAATATATTCCAGACTCGTCGATACATTTTTGTTTACTTTGTCATCGAGGAATGTAAATACCCGATCTCCGTTCTAATTCGTATTCAATCTACAAACTTATAACCGCTTCATAATTAACACAAACTAATACAGCCAATAAAACCAATAAGAAAGATGTTCTTCGTGTTTGAAAGATATATGTTTGACTGAAGTAGTATTAAAATTGCCAACGTACCTTGGCACGTGCATTACGTCAGGAAGCGATGGCGCGCCATCGTGGCTCAGTGTACGACAATTTCATTTTCCACCGCGAACGTGAGAACATTATACAATGAAGTCTTAACGGATCTTCGCTTGTAGTTTCGCTTGGTGTTTTATATTTCCATTCGTGTAAGTGAATAGTTAAAGTGAATAGTTAATGGCTACCTGTAGTTATTCGAAACTCGTTGGGGGGCGTGTGGTCCAAGTGTTTCCAATCCTGCAAATGTTCAGTGCGCTGTAATTGGAGAATGTAAGGATATTCAAGGCCATCTGAAGCTCACAAAATAATGTAAAGGACTCTACCTTGGATGAAGCAATGTTACTCTTGGCCAGAGCAGGTCAGTGTTTTCTTCTGCTGTAATTCTGTGTCAGATTTGTGGCGCCAAAATATCGCGTAAAGTCGAAAACTCCTGGGGGGGGGGAGTACTCATCAAAGTGTTGTACGAGGAGGCCCGACGTCTAATCCTTACCTTTTGATACGCCAATTTTGATAAAAATGTACCTCTGCGTTGCACCTCTCAAGGAAATACTAAATAAAACTAAATTAAACTTAATGACAGATTTCCTTAGCCGTTCACTACTTTCATCTTGAACTTGTTAGACCCCTACGCCCTAAAGCGTTTGAAAAGGGTACCCCTTTCGGGTGGAGCCTCCCCGCATAGAAAGCATCATAGAATACTGGGTGCTTTCGAACAATTGTTCATCGCAACAATTCCCTGTAACTAGAGATGACGTGATGAGCGTAAAGTCCTTTACGTATAAGTACTGGCACACTCTTTCCCGAGGAAAAGAACCGAAAGCATCTCACTTTTACACCGGCGTTATACAATAACGTTTTGATTGCACAAAAAACTGCAAAACTAGTTTAGAGGTCAACCCAACAGCCCTGGGGACGAGGTTGGTTGAGATGTCGCCTACAAAGGGCTTAGGTGGGACAAATTTCCTGCCTCCCCTAGGGTCTCCCAGGGGTTTGGACCGGTGGCGGACAACCGAACATGGTGTCATGGGCTCCTGAAATCACCAAGGTGATCAATTTGCACTGGGGAGCAAAATAATAATGTGCTCGTATGATGTCAGAAACACACGCCAAAGCATCCAACAGTACAATTGTACTCCGCATCATTGCCCGCTACGCTGTTGCGACAAATCCTAGGGATCTAGGACTAACTCTTCGCCTAACTAAACTTTACCCTGGCCCTAGCCAAGCGGTTAAGTAAACATATGAACATCTTTTGCAAGGTTGCTTTGAAATGGATGAGGTGCATTTGAACACAACGATATGTCCTCGTCACCGGGACCTATGGGGAATAAGATGGCGTAACAACAAGAAGAACTGTTCTTGTCCAGACAAGTGGAAACAGCATGAAAAGAACCAGAAAGGAGATCGAGGGATAAACATGGCTCAGTCGAGAAACCTGTATATCCAGACGCAAATTATATTGCCCGTGGGTTCTCGTAAGTACTACTGCTATGATCCACGCGACGTTTAGGCTATAATAACTTGTCCAACAATTTTAAAGAAGAATCACTTTTTCATCGTGTTCTAATAAATGTTTTAAGACTGCTGATGCATGCCGCTAGTGCAATTGAATGATTTCTTTTATTTCTTTTCTCACAAAATTCTTTCTTGATTTTTTTTTTAAATCAATTTGGAGTGGGCAATTCTAGACTTAGATTATCCATACTGGTTACGGCTAAATAATGACAGACAGTTAATCTGTTTATTCCAATGTTAGCCATATGCAAACAATGTGGAACAAGACTAAGCATTCAAAGGGAAGACGATGAGGTAACATTAACAGCGCCTAAATCCCAAGATGAAACACGTGGAGACAAGGATTGCGAAGAGCCAGAATCCACTTCCTCAAGTCCAGGAGAGCCGCGACTTGACGTTGTAAGTTAAATTATACCAGGGTCAAGTTGTGCGGTTAAAAGAACGATATATCTAGGCTAACAGTCGGTATATTATAGTTGCTTTTCAAATCTCGGGTGTGGAACTGAAGGGACCGGGAAGCTCAGAAAAAAAAGCAAAAACAAAACAAAGCAAGAAAAAAGCAAACAAACCTTTGTAGCCTCAAACTAGCGGCACGAAAAAACAACTTTTAAATTTAACAAATTTTTTATCAATGTGCGGACTTCTCTCCGGAAGAACGTGTTAGAGGACTCACTAGAAACTTACAAGATTTCAGATAAGGAGGAGTCGAGTAATATGTATGACGTTACAATTGGCCAAATTTATAAACGATCGGAAGACTGGGTACTAATGTGATTCAACACTTGTCAACTGATGGAGCATTTAAACTTGAGTGCATTGATTAAATTTCATTGTTTTTGGAATAGAACGCTTCTAAAAATATGTAATTATAGAGACCTTTAACTAGATTAGGGACTTTTAATTTCCCTTTTGGCATTGGCTAAGTAATAAGGTGTCTTTTCATTAGGAGGCCGACCAACTGTCTCAATCAATGGGCCAACTCTTTATTGAGGAGGAAACAAGTCTTTATCTTCCAGAAGATACAGGCAACAGTAGTGAGTCTTCCGGTGCCGAGGACCAACGTACAGTACGTAGGAGCACAGAGAACAAAGTTAAATGAATTTTTAAGTGCCTGCAACGTTGGAAGTACTGTCGGCGTGTACAAAAAAAGATGGCAAGACACAAGTTTGCGCACTAGAAGAAGTCGCGTATCAAAAGCTAAAGAATCAATTGTAGCAGCTCTGAATGTGATTGCACCTGGTCATGCTGGTCCGTTATGGGAGGCGCTAAAGGAATCTAAGTCTGTGGAGAAAGCTTTGGGGGTAGCAGAGGAGTCTCAGTGAGATAGGAAATATTTGTAGGCCTTGGCTGAAACGTACAACAACGCATCAAGCTGGGCGACGCGCCGTCAAATATTATCAGTCATGGCGGACCTTACTTCCTTAGAAAAAATCCAGGCCTACATACCCAGCATCACTGAATTCAAATTTGCCATAGCCAGGAAGCACAAAATAGAGTACGGCCGAGGTGTTCCACTACCCCTGCAAAAAAGCCCAAGAATGCGTGTGGACACCAATCAACTGGACCATTTCATATCATTCATTGCAAGCCCCCACATCATTCAAGACCTCCCTTTTGGCCAGCGGTACTTACATCTTTCGACTGGTAAAGTTTTGGAGACACCCGATGTGATGCGTAATATGAGACCACAGCGTATTGTTAAGCAATACATGCAGTACTGCTATGAAACAAATTTCAAGCCATTTAGTCCATCGACCATGCTTCGCATTTTGTCTTGTTTTAGCGCAACGGTTAGGAAATCCTCGCAAGGACTCGATTACATTGCGGCAGAGGGAGCGAAAGGATTTGATGATTTGCACCGAATTTTGGACCGTTTAGGAGAGTACGGTCTTAGAAGGGACCTGGTGAGCCATTATCAAAAATCTCTTAAGGAAGCAAAGCATTACTTGAAGGCTAAATATAAGGTATATCAGTTGTAATCAAAGTATGTGATTTAAAAAGGCTTGCCATATTGTGAAAGTGTGAGAGCATGGGCGACAGTCAGCAGTTTTTTGAAGTGGCTGTTCACGAGATCAAACAAGAGCCTGATATTAATGCTCTGCTTCTGCTTTTACGCTTTTTAATGACAATCTTTTTCGAATCAATTACTTATTATCAAGTTATAGTGCATTGTCTCAAAATATTTTTGCCATTTTTCCAGGCTCATGTTGCTGAATCTGCAACCATTGCGGATCACTGCAGTACCTATGCTTTGAGTGATAGTAACGAGGGTCCATTTAAAAGCACGTGCAATCATTCACATGACAAACGCTGTATGCAATGTGAGACCCTGAAGGACGTTCTAGAAAAAGTCGAAAATTGTTTTGTGGACTGCGAAGTGAGTCCAGAGGAATTGGACGATTTGACGTATTCTTGCCGACAAGCGGTAGACAGCATCAAAGGGTGGAAAGCACATCAGCTTCAAAGTTGCAGACAGGACGAGGCAAGAACATCCATTCTAAATACCCTTGATGAAAGGTCTGTTCACGTAACTTAGGATTGGGCCATGAAATTCCTCCCACAAAAATACCGAGAGTCGCAATCTGATTGGTTTGGTAAGCGGGGAATTTCGTGGCACATAAGTGTGGTTGCGCGCAAGATCAAGCAATGTTTTCAACACCAGGCATTTGTGCATGTTTTGGAGAACTGCAAGCAGGACAGCTCCACTGTTGTGCGAATAATTGAACACACTTTACGGACCCTGAAACATGAGCATCCCGAATTGACAACTGCTTTTCTACGGCAAGACAACGCCGGTTGCTACCATTCTGCTGAAATGCTGGCAAGCTGCGCTCAAATGGAATCTAAAACTGGTATCGCAGTACGAAGGGTTGACTTCAGCGATCCCCAGGGAGGGAAAGGTCCTTGCAACAGAAAGGCGGCTACTGTCAAAGCCCATGTAAGGAGATACATCAACGAAGGTCATGATGTGTTGAATGCTAATGACTTCTTGAATGCCATGCTTTCAAATGGTGGAATACCAAATGTTAGAGCGTTATTGCTGATGCCTATAGTACCGAAAGGGATGCTCAACTTTCACTGAAGTAGTCTGGCGTTAACTCTTTAGACAACTTTTTGTATCCTGTGAAAACTATCACTGTTTGGAAAGCGTACAATGTTGGCGAGGGAAAGAAGGTACCAGGTAGGAAAAACAAATGGGGAAAAGTTTTTTCATTTATTCAACATATTTAACCTTTAATGTGGAGTACAAGGTTTTATGCTGCCGTCACGCTCGGCATGAAATTTTTTATAAGAAGAAGAAAAAAAACAGTGACAAGAAAAAACACACTGGGATAAAAAAACTCTTTTTCTTATTGAAGTTATACTCGTGCTCCACACTCTAGTTTACCACCTACTATTACTTATCCTTCGCGCGAAATACCCCTAAACAACAACAACAACAACAACAACAACAAACACTGTCCATTTGCGGAGCTGAAACTTGTATAATAGTATTACATTTTCATTTTGGTTTTTTAGTTCCAGATTACTCACAGCCGCAAAGCTTTGAGAGCCAGTTTTCCTCAGGGGACTTCTCAGAAGTATCTCAGGCGGTCGATAAGCCAAAACCCAGTTTTCAAGAGACTGGTGAACAACATCCAGATGAGAAGGAAGAAGACCGAGACCTGAGCGCTATGTTTTCTTGTCCGCACGAGGGTTGCGTTAAGATGTATCAGCGTCACTATGCTTTGGAAAATCACTTGCTGTATGGGCAATGTGAGTTTCTACCGGTCAGAGAAAGTCTTATGGACAAGGCCAAAGTATTATACCATGATAAAATACTCTCTGAGGCGAGCAACCTGCCATCCGTGAAAGCTGAGTCAAGTCAATGCCCGGTAACAACTGAGGTTCTTCCACAAGGGTGGGCTTTAAGATCCGCTAGAAAGGCAACACGGTTTAGTGATTCCCAGCGACAGTACTTAGACGGGAAATTTAACGTCGGGCAAGCAACAGGAGTGAAACTTGATCCTGTGGATGTTGCACGTGACATGCGTTACGCGCGAAACCAGGAAGGGGAAAAGCTGTTCACTATAAGTGAATTTTTGACCGAACAGCAAATTCAGTCATACTTTTCAAGACGAGCCTCTAAACTCCGGCATTCTCATTCAGAAGATCCAGATTCTGATCGAGACGAGGATGTTATGGCCGCTGAAGAGGAAATCGCGCACGAAAATGTTCGCGCAGTTGTGTTAGAGGAGGTGGGAATAAGGCACTCAATTGTTTTCGACACTTTCAACTTATGTGACATGCACAAGGCAGGTAAACTGCGACACCTAAGTATTTCCATGCTGCGTTCCATTTGCGAACATTTTAACATCGAGGTGATGAACATCAAAGGACGACGCAAAGCTCCTTACTTGTCTCTACTTGGGGAACTTCTCGTGGCATGCAGTTGTCATAAAAGTTAGGGTCTGTACCGACTAATCAAATTAACATTCCAGCCTCAACATTCTTTGATTTTACGTTTGAAAGAAAAAAACTGATAAGTGGCGGGAAATCAGGCCTACGACTTTTATCAACTTTGTATATTCCTACTGCAGTATCGAACATTATGCCTGATGCCCCAGTTATAGTATGATGCTCAAAATTGTGCCTGCCAGGATCCCGTACCGGAAAATTCCTTCAGATCCTTATTCCATCACTTATTTCTTCCCAGGCGTTCATTCATTTGTACAGGGTTAGCCTCGATCAAAGGTAAATATATTCACAGACTTGTATACAACTGTGTCTATTGTTTTATACTGAAATTCCGGCTCCTTCTAGCTGGTATTTGTGAATATTTTACTTTAGGCCGAGGCTAACCCTGTATAAATGAGTCTTCAGTGCTTCTATTCAGCGGCCGCGATTAATTCGAAACTGGACTATTTTGTGCCAGGCAATAAGCAACTACTGGGTGGGGGAGGGGTTGGGATTTGGGGATTTTTTTTAAATTCCCAACAAGAGATCGGCTCCTGCTCCCAAGTTTATTATTATTATTATTATTATCATTGGAAAGCCTACACAGCTTTTTCTTAGCGATTATGGCTCAGAATGCATTGTCAATCAGAAGTACTGAGGAAAGTTTTGTCTGCCTTGGACCCAACCCCAACCCCCACCCCTTCTTACTTGTTCTAGTCAAAGAGAATGTCACGCAATCTAGTTTAGCTGCGGGACTTTGGTCTTTTTTCAAAAATATATATATTCGAGGTGAGTAAATGTTTGTCTTATTCTTCCGTCATTGCTTTTACGATTTCTTTCAGACGAAATGCGAACATTTTGATGCATACTTGTTATTTATAGAATATTGCGATAATGACTGGCACAAGTCGTCAGGCTTCAAAGTAAACAAATACGCACGTACGGGAAGTGTTGTCAAGATGTTCACAGCTCAATTTCGCACAATAAAAATGCTGTTCCTTTCGGATAATTGCCACTATGAAGTCAATAATCGTTTGTTTAGTTTTTGAACTGGTGGAAAAGGATCAAATTTCGCGAAGAATTTAAACTGCTGTCCAACTTTACTCTTGTATTCGTCATTACAACCGCAAGTTCAAAAGTTGTAAATTTCACGCAAGTACCGTTAACGTTTTCAGTTCTCAAAACTTGCCGTTTGAATTGCCCCAAAATTTTGTTTCATAAATTGAAAGAAGAAGGATTGCTCTTTCTCTGGAATAGCATTTGTAGAACGAAAGCCATGTACCAGGAAGGGTTTTTTGCCGTTGAAAAATGGCAAAATTGATAGTCGCGATAAAACTGTTTTAGAGGGTGATTTTGAAATAAAATTAAAAATTCAGACTGGAATCTTTTGAAATTATAACAACGTTTTCATACAAAGGAAGGGTCATAAAATCATCTTATATCGCAATAGTCATGGTATTTGTTTCCGTTTCTATTCATCATGCGAGGATGCGAAGCGCATTTTTCGGTGGTTTGAGGGCCTCTCGGAGGTGAAAATTCAAAAAAATTATTATTTTGGAAAATATCAATCACAAGAAACTGAATCTTGTATTTTCTTAAACAGTTTCGTAAGGGCTTTAATGTGACAAAGTTTGGGAGATTTCGATTTTTCCATCTTGCGCACCTATCCGTGGTATGTGCAGAAAGTCGCTCTTAAAAAGGTTGACTGCCGGTCACTAAATGAACAGCAGTCCTATATTCTCAATAAATTTGACAAATCGAAAAAATCAATCTAATCGAAATTATCATATATCGATGATTAAGAAAAGTCAAGCGATCCTGAAACGCTTTATAGATCTCAAGTTTAGCGCTTGGTTTACGCTGGGCTCAGAGAAGGAACCCATGTTTGGTGACACTTAGAACTTACCGTGTGTTTTTTCTTTAATCTTTAGGGGAAAAATTGAACAGAAAATAACCCCCATGGTAATAACTGAGTTTCGTTCAGACTTTCTAAAAATAAAATAGATTTCAGTAGGCTATATATATTACAAAGAATGTATGAGTTGTGACTTTCTTTTCAAGTTATTACCACCACCTAATTTTAATTAACCTGAGATCAGGCGTTATTTTTTTTATTTTTTGCTTCTTTGCTTCTTTGGCTCGAGAGGGAAAAAAAATAACGCCTGATACATTTATTTAACAAGCCGTCAACCGCCCCCTAATTTACATAATCTAACGTCTGCTTGACCTGTCATGTAATTAGCCAATAAGAGTTTACCATAAGGGAATCAAATTTGGCGCGAATAATGTCTCTTTTGAAATCAATTTTAGCTAGGGAAAAGAAAATTTTTAAGTACGTCCATGTTCAGATGGCGCTTCCTGAAAAAAAATTTAAATGTGTTGTTTTTGTGATGAAATACTGCTAGCCGGAGCTGCCGTACCTTTGATTAACAGCTAGAAATAATTAAGACTTTACTGGTTAAAGCTCGTTGACTTCGCACTGTACCGAAAGCAGTGAAAAAAAAATTAGGCTGAAGCACCTGAAAGGTGTTGTGAAAGCGAAGATCGCTCAGAACAATTCGCAGGTTTGTGAAGGAGGAATTACAGCCAAACCAGGTCAAGATTCCATTCATGAATTATTTGAAAAGTGAACCCGTTTGTCGCTTCTGTAACTTGTAGCCGGTATCAAATTGCATTCAAATGATCGGTGAATTTTAAGTGCACGATGAGATGGAAAATATTTCAATAGATGAAATTTCTGTTTAGGCATCCTTCAAATTCAAGAAAACTGAGCCGGCAGAAATGTCATAACGAACTCGCGTGCGTATTCACTGCTCATTACGCAAGCAAAAATGCAGACTGAAATCAACAACAACTAACGGATGGCGGCATTTTGGCCAATCGGAACGGCGCAAATCATCCGTATTGTTTGCTATCCAATCAGAAAAAAGTCCAGATTCTGTCTTTTTTACATGTGATCCGACAAACAAATGTATCATGCCCTCTTCCCGTGAGAGGCATAAAGGGATAATAGGAAGACGGCATGATCTCAGGCTAAATTTTAATCGGCTCAACTAGCTCAATATATGTTCTGCTAGTGATATATCTCAGAAAGGCTCGTTACCGTGACTAACATCATACGAAAGATACATGTCTATGCACATCGATGTCCGATGAAGTCACGTTTTACGAACATGAAACACTAAAATTATGATTGTAATAGTTGCTGCTGATTGGTAGAAAGCAGTGCCAAACGCTCAGTGTGGTCTGAAAAGCATAAACTTTTTTAGTGCTTCAGATTGACCTCTAGCTAAATAGCTAAAGAATTTCAATTTAACCGCTCTCAGCTCCGTTGTCTCGAAAACCGCTAAATCCTGTAAATTAGCTCTGACACAGATACCAAACAGTAGACTCTTGACCTTTCATGTAGTCTTTCATGTTCGGTAATTGGCGAGACTGGCTAGTTTTTCATACAATTACCATTTTTTCTGAATTTACACCTTACGTTCTTTTTCTTTTTTATTTGAGCCGTTTTAATTTTGATTAATGCTTTCATTTAAGCCCAATGTAACTTATAACGGCAGCAAAGAATGTCAGTCAAGCGGTGTCAATCACTAAATCATGCTTTGACAGTGTCAAGTAACAATGCATTTTACACAATCCGTTTACAACCACTCTGAACATAAAGTAAGATAGCAATGTTGAATGACGAACTGTTGGCCCAATGCCATTATTTTCAAATTCTTAAAGTTCCTAATTCTTTGCGTTCGTTCGTTATAAAATGAGTTTTGTGCGAAAGTTTAGTTGCATGTAATTAAAGGAGAAAAACAGTATGAAATTAAAAAGACACTATTTGACCGGCAATTATCAGGTAAACAGTTTTGCCTTAAACTAGAGTCAGATTGGGTGTCTAATTTACGTTTCTTTTCTTTATTAAAGAGAATTTCGAAGAATAAGCATTGGACACGTAGATCTTTATTCGGAAGGGAAATTCGTTAACACCTTTTGAACTCGTGTGAAATACCTCAACCCTCCAAAACTCAACGAATTCATCTTTTTACTTTGTATTATTTTTACAATTCGCTGGATATATGCGGAGTTAATGTTGCCTATAAACATTTAACTCGAAATTGGAACATAATAGCTGTAACATTATCTCTTTCAAACGAAAGTACGCACCGTTATAGTTATATCAAAATTTTAAAGCAAAGAGATAATTAACATAGGAATCTACTGCATACTTAGCTAATTAGTTGACTTGCAGATAAATGTAGATACCACCTTTCACCTGTGTATTATAATAGGCTGAAGTGACGAACTAACTGTAAAAGCGTCCACTTGTAGGTCGTTTTATCCGCAGAGAGGTAAATATCCACCTGCGGTGGTAAATATTTTTCTGTCCATTTCTGCACGTCTGAGGAACACTTTGATCCTTGCCGCTCTTAAGGTGGCTCGACCCAGTATTTTTGTACGTACACCTTCAATCTTTGAATCTCTTATACTTAAACAAATTCATCGTTATTGTAAAAACATTATAACACTAGCCTGTTCCAGGCGTTCAGATAGTGGGGAGCGGTGCGAAGTAAAAAAGAGCGCGAAAAAATAAAAGAGAGGGAGGAGGAGAGGTGAGAGAGGGAACCGCACCTCTCTTCCCAGTTCCCCTCTACTTTTCATCGCTTTCTTTACTTCGCACCGCTCTCCACTATCTGAACGCTTGGAACAGGCTATTATAACACATGTATTACACCTAAACGCTACTATGGTTTTATTTTTTGGGCGATCGGAATAAATAGAGACGTTTAGATCAGAGTTTACCGCGAACCTCTAACCGCGGTTTGCGGTTACCCGTTTGCGGTTCGACGTTCAAACATAATTCTACGCCTAAAATGTCAAATAGTTGTTTTCTTATAAAATTTACACTAATAAGCCGTTTTCGGCGAAAATTATTGACTTGCGGTGTAACTTGGTCAATCAACCTAAATATTCTCAGAATCTTCTCTCTATTATAATAACCCTGACTTGTATATTACTATTTTGTGCAATATCATTGATGACATTCAAAATATGATATTTTCTGTGGTATACAGACTTTCTTTTCATTTTGTGTCTATTTTCATAAAAATCCACATACTCGTCTATTGTTAAATAATCATTTATTTGGCCACAATTCTTAAACACGATAAAACCATCCTTGATCAGTCTCATAGAATCGCAACAAAAATATCGCCTGGGCTTACCGGGGTCCTGAATCTGTTTATTACAAAAGATACAATTAACCTGACCCTCTTGGATCAAGAACTCCTGAATTTCTTTATCACACATTACTATATTATATTTAGATTTTTTATTTTTAAATATTACCCTCACTCAACTTCACAAATGATTATAGTTTCACAGAATTTTCTACAGTCTGTAGAAAATTTTGTGTAATCATTTGATTGGTTGAGAGTATAGCCTTCTAGAACATTCCAATGACCTAAATAATCTACGCACAGCGAATACGCAAAAATGAAAACTTTCACTGAAACATTTCACAATTTCGTAGCTGAAATGCGTAGCTTCTGATTGGTTAAGAGAATAACCTTCCAGAATATTCTAATGACTGTTTCCTCTGGGAAGGCTCTATTTCATAGTGGCCGTATGCATAACTATGTATTCCATTCTCATGTATGTATCTTTTATCATCAAAGCAGCTCAAACTAATTTTGTTTAATTGGTAGCTCCCAATTTGATGATGGTCACTCCTGATTGTTCGCATACGGTGTAACATTTGTTTCCCGTTCAATAAGCAATCTTTATAATTCTCATGAGTAATATTCTTCTTTATAACATACTTTCTAACACCTTTAGCCGTCTTCTCATTCTTACTATTGTCTTTCACATACGAATACATCTTACTTCCGAGACCAATAAATTGCACAATAGGCATGCCAGCTGCTTCATCTTTAAATTTGCCGATAACTTTTTTCTTTGTTGAATCAAAAAATTTACTATCTTTTGGATAATCACTGTTGTCAAACAAATTTCTATCCTGCCATAACTCCTCATAAATATCCTGTGTTTCTACTTCATAACAAAGGCTGTCTGTATCTGTAAATAATAATTTAGCCTTTTTATTGTATCTCTTTTAATGTAATTATAATGAAAATCATACACGAGTGTCTTTGAAAGATCTAAAATGCACATTTCAACATAAGCTGGTCTATCGAGTTTTAGTGTTTCTTTGATTTTATGAACCGCAACAAGCTAAAGGTCCTCAGTGAATATTTTACTGTTAACATATGTTGGCTTACTTGCAAGTTTGGATAACTTACTTTTATCAGTCACCAATCTTACATCAACACGCTTTCTTAAATTTTCATACGTTTTGCCATATACTGAATTATTCATAAGCTTAAAAAAATCCTTTTCAAATGCATTTTTTGCACCCGCACGCTTCTGTGTATTGAAATCAATATATTGTCTCAACTATGGGCTCTGATCAAATTCTAGTACTCTGTGGAATTTTTTCAGTTTCAGACCTAGTGATAGATAAAGTTGCAAATTCCTGTAGTGCAATACATAATTCTTCTTTTCTGTTAATGTTGGGGTTAATTTAGCTACCTGTCCTATTGTTACCCCAAACTTCTCCTGAATAGTTTTACAGTATGGTGAAAGCATATCTTTTGTTACCTTCATTTTTTCTGCAGCTAATGGATAATCATTATGCATATCATGTAATTCTTCAGGGTATTCCAAATCAACTTCAAGTATATATCCTTTTTTATTATCAGATAATATTGTCTTATTCATAATCTTATTAATTTGCTTTTAGGTTAGCCATTTAAATCCACCTGTTGGAAGATACTGGCTCATCGCGTAACCATATAAATTATTAGCGTCTAGACAAATAATATACTTGCTGGGTTTTTCTTTATTGTACTCTTTCATGTATTTATTATTTGCTTCCCAAATCGGTTGGCGATGTATGAAGTACCTCCACGTGTACCATTTTCTATAAACTGAAACATGTCAATATCAGTCATTAACTCCAATTTTATTTCTGTCATTTTTAACATTGCATCCCAACTCAATCCTGGTGATGTGTAATAGTGACATGGGTCTAATTTGTAATACTGCAAACATGTACTTCTAAAATTCTCAAAAACATCTGCCAATAGTAAGATATCAGACTTCAGGTATAAATCATGGTAATCACCCATAGTCTGTAAATTAAATGTTCCCCAAACTTTTGTGGCATGACAGTATTGTTCATCTGTTAATAGCATCAGGGGTTAGCTGGCTAAAGAAATCATCTTTGCTTGGCAGTTGGGTCTCAATAAATCTCTCTAAAGAATCCATATAGTCATATGGATAGACACCTTTTGGGGTCATTAATTCTAATTTCTCATTTTTGAATACTTCACTTGTATACTTAAATTTATCTTTTGGTAAATTGGCTGAAAGACGATCTAGGCTACTGGACATAAGTTGAAAACTGTCCAAAAATACTAAATGCTTGCCTAGCATAAAAGCCATATATTTCTCCATATTATTGGGAATACAGTTAATATATAATTCATACTCTTTTCCAATTGTTCCTATCTCCTGCATTATAAAATGGGAATCATACCCACCGAGATTATGAAAAATAACTGGCAGCTTGAACTTTTCTGAACTTATTCTTAATTTCAAGTTACAGTCTTCATGTGCAGATCCTCTATATTGACCTGTTATATGACAATGATCTCTTACACGGATATCTTCATTAGTATATTTCTTACCACAAGTATGACACTCTTTCGCAGCATTAAAATTTTGTTCATCCTCACTGCTCATTTTTAATGGTTTCTTGAATTTGGTTTTGATTATTTTTTGACAGTATTGAACCTCTTTAACATTTCTTCCATGAACTTTTTTACTGGTTCTTCTCCTCGATATGTTTTACCGGTTTTGTATATTTATCATCATAACAGCAAACTACTTTGTAACCATAACTACAGCTTGTATGTTTTTGATATTTGTTTGTATATGATTTATTATTATTTGGCTCACATCCTTGTATCTTTTCTGTATTAGCCTCAAAATCGGCTTATATTACAAATGGAGCCGTCATCTGTTTTTGATGGTTTTTAAACTGCAATATATTCTCACCTTATGTTGGTATCCTTATTGCCTGTTTTCCATTTACAACCATACAGTTGTCCTTATGTTTCAAACGAATTTGTTCTGTTGTAAAATTTTGTAAGCAGTATATACAAAAGTGTTTTTTTCTCCTTATGCTTTGTTTTATTATACATCATTCTATTGAAATCCTTAATTAACACATAATGTTTATTCTCATCTTCTGTTATCAATAAAAGATTCAATATATCCTCATTTTTCTGTTTGGATACATAAATCGGATAAAACTGTTTATTCTCATTTCCAAATACATTTATATTGATATTATTTTGCTCCTCAATTTTATGATAATCTTTTAAACTTACTGGAAAATCCACTCCCTGGTAATTCAATTCTTGGACAATTTTCTTATCTGTTTTTTTTTTTTATACGCTCTGGATGAACATCTTGTGGATTTAAATGTCTAATATGACACCAACGGAAACATTCATTATCCTCATTTTTAGGTTAATTGAACCTTTTAAAGTGCTACTACGACGAAAATTTTTGTTTTTGTTTTCGAGTTTTTTTAACATAAATCTTTTGTATATGTTCAAAATTATACAAATAGCGAAAAATTGGAACGATACTTGCGTACGGGGGCTGGAAATTTCCCACTGAAAAGTGCGTAAATACCGTCCGCCATTACAAAGTTCGCAAAGCAATAGCCCGCGAGATCTCCGCAAAGCGGTCTTGCGTTTGACCACGTGATTTATGCACTGTGACGTAGAAACATCAACCAAAAGATTCGCATTTGGGAGAAGTTTGTGAGTTTAGAGCCTTTTAACAAGACGTTTAAGATTTCACCTCCGTCGGATTCCTCTTCCTGCACATCTGAAAGTGATCTAGAAAGTTTTACAGTTGACGAAGTGATGGGGGAATTGTCTGAATTTGTGCCGTACGACGACAGTTGCGAACCCCTTGCTACCGAGGAAGAAGCCGCGGACTACAACGAAAGAGTTCATCGCGAAGAAGAACAGGAACAACAGTTTCAACGAAGATATTCGGGAGAGGTGCCAGCGAATGAATGGTATGGTATTATCATGGAATGTATATTTATATTTTTATTTTCCAATTTCAACATACCCGTCGTTAAATCGTGCGCGTGACGAACGCGACTGTGTGTTTTGTTTAAGTTTACAATTTCGTTGCTATGTGATTAGCTGTAGTCCTGATTTTATGCGATAGTTTTATTGACGAGGTCAGACAATTAATAATTTTATACAGACGTATTTTTCTTGTGTTGACGAATTTTTCACATTATTTTGCAGGTGTTCGTGCTCGAACTGCTCTGTCAGCCTTGTTACAAAAGCGCAGGAGTGCATTTGCTGCAAAGAGAGCGATCGCTGCGAAGAGGTCATGGAAGAAGCCATTGGAGACCGGACCGTATGCATAACCCTCCATCCAGGGTTTGAAAGCGTCTGCTTAAACCGCCACGTATTAGAAGTGGCTGCACTGGGCCTAAAAACGCGAGCTGGAAAGTCGTACACAACTGTTCGTGGGCAAAGCAACAAAAGTGATAATGAGTAAGTTGGGGTATTGTTGACTTTGTATCGGAACGATCGAACCTTACATAGCATTGAATAATTGATACATCTAAGCTTATCGCCGTGGACTGATCTCTTAGAATCACATTTTTTATTTTCTAAATGGCTTTATTGCCCCAACTGCTTATTTTTAAAAGGAGTATTTATTTATCTCCATCCAATCCCTCCTTGAATTAACAGTGATCTCATTTCTCTAACTAGATTCCTGAGGTCTGTGGCCTATCGCCAATTTACGAGACTGCTGTGGAGTTATATTGGTAGTTCCAGGCGATACCCCTTGCCCTGTGGTGCCTACAATAAAATCAGGAAACAATTTCCGAGTCAAAATGGCCATTATCGTGGATTCGAAGATGAAGACAATGAATGATAAATGCACTGTTTGTTCTTGAAGAGTGTCATGTATGCCATTGGGGCCAAGAAGGACCTACAGTAGTTGCTTGAATACTTGTCCGTAAGCACTTAATTTTATGGGCCAAACTTCAGAATTCTCAGCCACTTACTCGCTTTTTGTTGAATGACAAACTTGCCCACTGTGTGAAGCCCTGTTCTTCTAGCGTTCAGTTAAACTCAAGTTTAGTGGCTGGGAATTCTGATGTTGCTCCAATTTTCATGTACACAAGTAATAAAAATTAAATCGAATTCAGCCTGAATTTAATTACAGTTTTAATGTATCGTTTCTTTCTTTTCACTCGGCTCACAGAGCACTGCAAAACTTAATAGCAGGTTACCTGCTGGAAACTTTCCTAGCAGGTCTGGTTGACTCTTCCAGACTTTTGTCTGGCTACAGTTTCTGCAGAAACTTTCTACGGTTAAAAAGGTACCTGTCTGTGATACAGAAAGTTTGGGTTTTGAAAAGAAGCACAAGTGGCAGAACTGAAACAAAAGAAGAAGTTTGGAAAGGAAAACAATTCCCTTCGGTTCCTCTCGAATGTTTTTTCCTTGTAGATCCAACCTGTAAAAAATGATTGAAAGGAAATACTCATTTAATCATAGCATCTGAAATAATAAAATAACAATAAAAAAATGATTATCATTTTTATTGTTTTTCTCAGGGTGTTGCCAGTTTTTCAACTTGTTGTAAACCTGGTTAATTGTGGGTTGGGATTTTATTCTCACATACATCCTGAAAAATGCTTTTTTATAATAATTCTGTTGATTGCACACATGACAACTTTGAGCCCTTAAGCTATCTAGCCCACCCCAACGATGCATAATTTATTACAAGTGGTTGAGTGGACAAACCAAACATTTTAGGCCTGGGACTTCCAGTCTATGGGCTGGCTATGCCTCTTCTTTTTTTCTTTTTTTTTTTGCAATTCTTATCTGAGTAAATTAAAAAACAAATTTCATGTACTCTTGTTTCTAAAGAGATCCTCTCATAATGGAAGTTAGTTTTAGGCCTAAATCACTTCCCAGAGGATACTTACAGCTAAGATGTTAAAATGCAATAAATTTTGCATCTTTGTACCTTGGGTTCTGACGAGTCTTCACCGAGTCATCATCTTCCTTTAGTTTTTTATATGCATCTTCGATTTCTTCAGGACTCCATGTAGGGTCTTCATCACACTCAAACTCCTCATACGTGTCGTCCTGCATTTCCTGCTCATCTTCTGATTCATCCTCTAGCCCTAACTCTGTCTCATTTGTTACTGGCCATGGATCAGTTTGAATAGCTTAAACAAATGGAATTAAAAAAATTCTATCACCATTAAAATTTTAATTATTATTAAATAATCAAATATTGATAAAATGTAATAGAAATATAAAGATAGGCAGTTATGCCTATATGGCTCATCAACATCAATTATTGTTGACTCACCAGCATTCACCATCAGCAACTGCTTAGGCTCTTGTATGATCTTAAAGGTTTCAACCCACTGATCTTGATTGGAGATTAACTTACTCTTCAGTCTTGTGGCTTTGCCCCTTAACTGAGTCACCTCACTCCTCAGGGTTTTGCATGTTGTGCAATTCCCAGCATGTCCAGTTGGAGTATCCTACAAAAAACAAACTTTCAACATTAATACAGGCTGTAATAACAAGACTTTAAAATTTTTGTGTTTTAGTATTGTTGTAAAATAGCTGCACATGTAGTTTTCCATTATTATGATAATACAAAGATGCAAATAAACATTAATTAGAGTTATGCGCCTACCATAGAAACCTGTTCAAGTTCAGGAATCGTTAATGATTCATCAATCTGCATAACTTCATCCATATCCTGCACTTTTTCGATTCCCTGAGCCTCCAGGATCTGCATGGTCTCAGTAACCTCATCAGTGCCTGAAATCCCTTGGCTCTCGAGAGCTCTCTTATCACCAGGAGTGCCTAGGACCTCTGAAGCCATCTCAGCATCAACACTTATCTCACCCGTCTCAGTCTCAGGGATGCAGCCCTCCTTTTCAGGATTTACCTCAAGCAAAGAACCCTGACTTGTATTCAGAACACCCTTGACTTCTGGAGACTCCTCAGGGTTGAGATTGGGAGCCCCCATAGTGTCAGCACTCTCCTCAGGTGCAGAACTTCCTTTCAAAGAGATCACCTCTTCTTCAGGATTGTCTTCTTCCTCTGTATCCTCATTAGTAGTTTGACCAGCCAGAATTTCATTTAGTAGCTAAAAATGAAAATAGGTACGACCATTTTTTGTATCTCCCCTTCAAAACAAGTTTAAAATTTGAGCTTTATGTCGATGTTTTCAAAACTAGAAATGGAAGCAAGGTTTAACCACATCTTTGCCTTAAAATGTATGCATCATTTGCAGACAGTGAAAATAGAATTAAAATACAAACAAAAAAAAAACCCGCAAACAGTAACTGAACTTATAGAATGTAGAAATCAGACTAAGTCCATTTTTGGTCGTTTTAAAAGACTCGCGTGTAACTCTTAATTTGCTGTAAGATTTCTTGGAAGGAAGTTTGAGTACTGTCAAATCTCAAAGTAACAGCAACATAATCTCTCAAAAATAGAGAGCCGGATTTCTATGTAGCTTCACTTTTTCTAAATTTTACGCTTGAGTGGAAAGGTCTGGGAATTGGGGAATTGACTTCACGTCCACTCAGCGCAAATGCCAGTTTTACTATAACTATGAGAAGAAAGCAGAAAAGTATGAAAACACATGCAACAATATGGGAAGTCCAAATAGTCAGAGCATTCATTACACGAATATTGAACAAGGATGCCAGAAAAAATCATGTCACAGGTAAATGGGGAAATAAATATAATGGTGATAAGCACAGCGCAAATACATTGTAATTTCACTCACCGATCGTCGACTCCGCTTTGATAGTGTTTGAGAGGATTTTTTCCAAATGGTTGGAAACGTCCCCTTCTTCAAATTCCTTTTCATGCCTTTCATCGGAAAAGCAAGCGTAAAACAATCCCTTGTAAAATGCTCCGAGCACACAGCAAATTTTCCCACTGTGTTGAAATCCTTCCGATGAATGGACACGAACCTTTTCCACTTTAATCTAACGCTGCCCGAATCAGGAGAATTATGAATAGAAATCCCCAATTCATCGTTCTTTACGTTTCCACAGTCCTGAACAACACAACGTCTACCAGGCATACTTTCGCTTAAGTCAAAAAAGCGAAGAAAGAACCTCCAAAAGCTTCCAAAAATATCTCGTCCTGCATGCGAAATTAGCCATGTTTGTTTGCCTTGTTTTGTGGCGTTGATTTTTCTACGTCACATCTCGCCCCAACTCCTTCAAATACTACTCCCGGTCATTTTTGAATCGAGTAATGGCGGCAAGACATTTACGAAAATTGCCGTGCAAATAAACACACTTCCAGATTATATTTGGACTCCAAACTTGGCACGGTAAGTCACTTTTACACACATTTTCGAAATATGTAATCAAAAACAAATTCCCAAATTTGATCGTAGTAGCACTTTAAGCTGTTTTGAAGTTCTTTCGGTAAAGGTATATATGATTTACCTTCTAATGGTTTATAATTAACCAAATTAAAATAGTGCTCTAAAACACCATCAGTAGTCCAACCGCTTCCTTCTTTCAACCACTCAGCAACATCATTCATTATTTTTCCTGTGACATTTCTAAGTTCGGCTTAATATCACTTATATTCATTATAATTTGCGCCTTACTATTAAAATACACCATCTCTTCCTCAGGTTCATCAGTTTTTAACTTTTCAAAGTTGACTGCTATAGTCTCCACAAATTTAAAACCTTTATTTTGATTCAATATTTTCTCAAAAAATCGGCTGATTGCTAATCTCGTTTTTTGTAATTGTTTTTTGTAATGGTTCTCGTATAATTTTGTATATCCCTTCAAAGCTTTACTTTTTTCCATAATCTTAGTTCTCGGAGCTGGAATTGGACGCGGCTGTGGCTGTGGTTGTTCTTTCTTTGTTCTTGGAGCTGGAGTTGGTCTTGGTGGTTTGTATAAATTATTATTCTCAAAATAACGGATTAATTGCTTGACCCCCATTTTTCTTGGGGCGGGAATAGGGCGTCTTGCTTCTTCCCTTACTCTAACCAAGTTTTCTAGTTCATCATCAGTAACTCCAGATAATAATCTTCTTATAAGTTCATTACGATTAGTCTTCATACTATTACTATATATTATTTTATTTTTATTTTCATTTGAACACACCATCTTCATACTATAGTAAAGCGCCATTTCTTTAAGCCGGATTCCCAAGGTCAAATTCAAAAAGTGCATATATCAACCAAATATATAAAAATTCCCTTGAATCCCAATTTGTCCAATAAAAAAGTATATATATAAACCAAATATTTAAAACTGTCCTAGTACCCCCATTTAACCAACTACTAGAAACCTTGGAAAGTCAGACTCCACATCGAAGTGGAGCCTTGTGTCATCTTCACAAGCTTCTATTTCCGTAGCCGGCATTCTAGCCGTCGCCGCCATGTTTTTAACAAGCAATGATCTTTGTGACTGACCAGAAGTAGTGAGGGCTCAAAAGAGTTGAATGAATAGTTGAATGTTGAATGATTAGTTGAATGTTGAGTGAATGGTTGAAATTGTTGAATAGATAATTGAATGGGTGAATAAGGAATTGAATATATAATGAATAGTTGAATGTTGAATGCGAAGTTGAATATTGAATAACGCGTTGAATGTTGAATATAAGTTGAATATTAAACGCATAGTGGAACACATAATACAAAACTACATATAAAGTTAGACAAATTGAATATTGCCACATTTGGCTTGCCATAATCGTGCCTTTCGAGAGCTTAGACGCAGGTCTAGAATTTCACGGAACCATGTCCTAGCACAAAAGTCAGGCAGGCGACAACGTTAACATGAAAGTTATAAAATTTTTAGCGCCGCCGCTTCTGCTTTTTATTTGGGGAGACATTGTTGTTTTGGAGGCGATAAAAGTTAAGAATTTTTACCCGTTTGGACAAAGCGAAGGTGATCAAATTGTTCCTCCTAATGACGACGGAAGCTCAGGAAAAGTTCCCATATCGTTCCCGTTTCCATTCTTTGGACAAGATCACTTATCATTGTTTGTAAGTATAGTCTTGTTTCACCAAAACCTCATTCGCTTGCATAGTTTAAGTATCATGGGTAATTTTGTCACACTTGCTTTACAAATATAAATATCAATGCTAGGGTGAAAAACATTGTAAGACATTGTAATACTAATGTATAAAATGAAATACAGAATGGCGCCAAGATGTCACTGGACGAAAAAATGGATTTACTAGGGTAGCCAAATTACAGCAAATGTGTAGCAAATATCACATTTGCACAACTTTGCTCAAATTCGCGTAAGAGCAAAGACTGATATTTATTACACTAGATTTGCTATCCGTAGCAATGACGGTAAATGCCACATTTGAACAACATTTACATCTTGGTGCAAAGATAATGGGCAGCCATGCATTTGAGGGTCATTTGCAGATGGTTCAAATGTGTAGGCAAATGTGTTTCTTTGAACCATATTTGCACATTATGCAAATGTTAGCGCAAATCTGATGTTCTGCACAGCTTTTGCTTTAGATGTAAAAGTATGTAAACCTGTTATTTTTAGAACGTTTACGCAGCTTTGCAAATGTGAGCGAAGTATGTAATTTGAACAATGTTTGCTTGGGTTATCATGGGTGATCAAATTTTCATAATTGAACCAGATTGCTTTGCATAGCAAATGTAACCAAACTCTTTGTATTAGACATGTTTGCTCACGAAGCAAATGTTAGCAAACCTAAACTTTAAACAAATTTTCTAGGGTACGCAAATTTGATCAAACACAAAATTTTCCTTGTAACGGGCAAATGTGCAAAGCCAAGGTTTGAACAAAGTTGCTTGGGCAGCAAATCTGATCAAACTGTTACTGTTGTAAAATTTATCGCTCAGGTAGCAAATGTAATCAAATTCTGACTTTCATTTGGTTGGCAAATGTCATCAAACCCATAAAATTGAGCCTGTTTTCTCAAGTAGCAAATGTGAATTCCAAGGTATAAACGAGTTTGCTTGGGTTGTAGCAAATGGGATAAAACTTTCCAATTATTTTTAATTATAACAAAGCTCACTTCAGGTTCTTAACAAGTTGCCATTAACTTGAAATTTATAGCTTCAAACAATAAAGTTACTGATAGAATTCTAGCAGTGACCTCCCTGTAATGTTCAAATGATTTATTCCATAAACCAAAGTGGCTTACACATTATTATAGACTTTACAAACTACAGTATACATACAACTCTTCATATATTAATTCCCAATTATACAGTTTGTTAACGTTTAATTGTCTCCACTCCATGCTCTATCAGATCATTACTAACTATTAATATTATAAGAAAAGTGTTCTTCATCTAAATGTGTAAGATATTCTACATAGGTGTTTCAGAGTTACCTCAAACCTATTTCAGTTGTTTAGGTTTTTGCAACTCAGAAACAGGTTAAAAATCCTTTTACCCTTGGACCAATAGTTACTTATGACAAGACTATTTCTTACTTATTTATTTATTTATTTATTTTATTTTTTTCCTCCATTTATTCACTTTACAAGCCATTTATATTGTAATGCAAGATTTGAAGATGAAGATGCTATTTGTAGAATAAATATCAGGTTACAAGAATAAATGGAGAGGGCCGGGATATACAGTTTTATTTAGGTTAAAAGAGAAAACAAGAAAAAAAGTATAAACCCTATAAACTATGAAAAATACACAAAAGAGAGGAAAAAAGAAAAGCACATACACACACACACGCACACATAAAAAGTATAACATTTGAGGGTCGGTGTGGCGATGATTTATACTGAGCAAGATAATAGTTGAAAAGTGCTCTTTTAAACAATTTTTAGTTGTTTTTTCACGTATAGATAAAGGAATATCATTCCAGTAATAGCATCCTATAACTGTTGGACAGAATTTTCTTATATTTATTCTAAAGCTACTGGGATTTAGGTGTTGCAGGGATGCACTTCTTGTGTCATAATTATGTTGCTCAGATACCGAGGCCAGCGTGAAAATAGACGGCTTTTTATCTACAAAGTGATCACAAATCAGTTGGCAGGTATTTAGCTTAACAATGTCAGGAAGCTTAATTAGGTTAATAAGGTTAACATAATGAGGCGTAATATGATCACGAAGTGGAACGTTATTAATAACTCTCACAACTTTGTTTTGTAGCTTTACCAATTGTGATACTGGAGCTTCGTAATTATTACCCCACAGAATGCAACCGTAGTTAAATAGGGGTAGACAAATGCATAGTAGATACTTATCAAAGACTGGGTTGTTACATGTCGTTTTAGTTTTGCGATGATATTTACACTTTTGCTGATTTTACTACTGATGTGGTCAATATGATCATGCCAAGACAAAAAGCAATCAATAACTAATCCTAAGTATTTAATGTTGTACGACTGCTCAAGATATTGGTCGGCAATTTTTAGAGGAGGGTGTAAGTTAGAATTGACTTTTTGTCTCGGTTGGAAGACCAGATATTTTGTTTTACTTGAATTCAGAGTTAATCTATTTGAACAAAGCCATTTATAAATTGCTGGCAATTCAGAATTTATTCCCTGTAGCAATAAATCTAAATCCTTACCAGCCACAGTCAGCGAAGTATCATCGGCAAATAGTCTTATGGAAAAGTAGTTAGTCGCATTAACAATATTATTTTTTATAAACTAGGAAAAGAAAAGAAAATTTCTTACTTAAACTGTATCTAAGGACAAAATCCTGTTCCATCTAAATGGAACCCTTAAGGCATCGATTTTAATAAATTACTAGTATTTTTGTATTTATTGCTATTTTACAGATTAAACAAAATTTGATTCTGGTGGTATTTTTTTCTTTATAAGGCTCTATTAGAATGAAAGGGCTAATTCTTGCTACCAATTTATAATTTTTGCTGGTATAACAACTGCGTTATGGCTTTTAGCAAACTAAGAAATAGTTTAGGTACATGTAGCTATTCAAATTCAGATCAGATTTCTTTAACTCCATTTTTGTTGCTAATGGTTGCTGCATAACATTGGATATGCGCTTAGAGGAAGTAGTCAGCTGGAACTTCCAGTATTTGCCCTGTTCTAAGAAAATTGAAGGTCATTAAAGTTATGAC